CTAAGAGGGAGGGAGAGAGAGAGAGAGAGAGAGAGAGAGAGAGAGAGAGAGAGAGAGAGAGAGAGAGAGAGAGAGAGAGAGAGAGAGAGAGAGAGAGAAGAGAGAGCTTCATATACAGGGGGTTTCCCTATATCCCGTTGGATCTTCAATGTTCCATACCAATCTAATCTTATTTTGGGAAATTAATTGTCTTTCCCACAAATCTGAGTTGACTTTGGTTGTGCCTCATCTTGAGGGGCTGCTCTTTTGAGGTGTTCCTGCTTGGTCATGGTAAATCTATTGTTCATTGGTGTGTTGGGGTCATGGAGTTACTAAGTTGCGCTCTTTATGTCATGTCCTGAAAGAAGATTAGTAGCCCTTTTTTTTTGTCAAGATTATTTTATAAAGTCCAGAAACCCTATGAGTTGTATGTGTTGTTTTTCCCTCATAATTCAAGAAACATAGTTGACTTTTCTGGGTGTTCTTAGTGTTGAAGAATGTACAGTCCCACATCAGAAACTTGGCCAACATATAATGGGTGGTTGCACTACTAATAGCATCAAAGCCTTTTGTATAAACACCACACATGTCATATACCCAATAGGTGGTGTTCACGTGTTGGCCTTGAATGATTAAATGTAGGTTTTCTGGGAGTTTAAGTATGAAGTTGTAAATATCTTACAAAATGGCTATGAACTTGAAAATGACCCCATAGTTTAGGGTAGGGGTGGGCATCTTAAACCGAAATACCGAAACCGTACCCTAACCGCACCATACCGTACCGATTTTATACCGTTTCATTTGGTACTGATAGATATTCGATACCGTACCGTACCGTACCGAATAGAGTATGGTATGGTAGCGGTATCAAGATTTTGATACCGGTCAATACCGTATCGTACCGAATAGTACTTAAATTTAATTTAATTTTTTTTTTCATTCTCTCACTGTCTCTGTCTCTCGCTTGCCTCTCAAACTGAAACGCCAAAGCCAAACCCTCTCAGACAAAAAGGAGCACGCTCTCACTCTCAGACTCTCAAGTCAACCCGTGCAAACTCAAAGCCAAACCCTCTCAGATAGAAAAGCAGCACGCTCTCACTCTCAGACTTTCAAGTTAGCCCGTGCAAGCTCTCCTCCATACCCAGACCCAGCTCCCTGTCTCTCTCTCAATCTCACTCGATTCAAGCTCTCTCCAAGCCAAATCCTTCCCATCTCATCTCGATCTCTCACTCGATTCAAGCTCTCTCTGTCTCTCACTCTCTCGAACTCGATCTGTCACAATGTCAGTCTTTGGATTTCTTGATCTGTCTCTGTCTCACTCTCTTAATCTCTCGATTTCTCTATCTTCCTGATCTCTCTCAAGCTCTCAGCCCTCTTTCAACTCTCTGGAATAAGAAGCATCCCCAAATCGACGAAGGGACAAATGGTAAGTTTGTTGTGATTTTTGTTAATTTATTTAGGGTTAATTAAATACGAATGAAGTTGAGGGATTGTGCTGTGTTGTTGTGATTTTTGTTAATTTTTTGTTAATTTATTTAGGGTTTGTGCTGTGTTGTTGTTGAATATTGAATATGTTGATGGATATTGAATATGTTGATTAGGATTTGGATATTGAAATTGAATATGTTGAATCTTTGAATTTGTAACTTAGGCATCATCTATTTTGGTGTTGAATATTGAATTGGTTCATTTTTTAGTTGTATCATTTTGGTACCGAAATGGTACCGATACCGTACCGATACCGATTTGGCACGGTACGGTACGGTACCAATTTTGGCAAACCATAATCCCATACCGTACCATACCGATTTAAATTTCCGGTATTGGTAGCGGTACGGGTTCAATACCGTACCATACCGTACCGTGCCCACCCCTAGTTTAGGGAGTCTTTTGAAATTTGTCCTATTTTTATGTAGTGTACAATTTGCACTTGTGTAAGTGGTATGAAATTCACGATACATATTGTGAAGCTAATGTAATGGCATATGTTCTTCCAATCTTTATGACACATACACAACCTTGTGTATGGTTTTCTAAATTTTCGTCCTTCATTGTTGTAAAAATGGTTTTGATTTCTGAAATATTGGGATTCCTAGGGGATTTGGTTTGCAATCATTTTTTAATTATAAAAACCATTAATTTGCTAAATAGTTCAATTTAGTACATTTTATTTTTTATACTAGAGAGGGAGATTCGAACCTAGGACTTAGGTGCATAGATAATTTCTCGTAACCACTTGATCTACAAGTGTGGGTGGACATCAATCTGGCCGAACTGCCTAAATCGACTGATCCAAAACAGTAAGAAAAAGTCAAACAGTTTAAAAACCGAACCGAACCATTTATGGTTGCGTTTGGTTCGGTTTTCAACTTCTGTAAACCGATCTACAATGAACTGTACCATCTACTTGTATATTTATTTACTTATATTTTAATTTACATGTGTATTCCTCTAATTAGATAATAACTAGATATGAATGTTGAATTAGAAGTTTGGTGGTAATTTGGAGTTATTGATATATGAATTGTAGCTATATTAGTTACTGAAATTTGAAGTTTTATGGCAAGTTGAATTTTAGGATGGTTTGATACACTTGAAAATGAAAAAAGTATGTAGCAAGTTGTGAAGTTTTTAGTTGTCATTCATTGGGCTAACAATCTTGAAAAAATGCAAAAGGAAAGAGAATTGGGCATATGCCCAAACCGACCGAACCAAATCAAATCAAACCGAACCAATCCGTCTTAAATTAGTTGGTTTGGTTCGATTTCCTCCGTGATTGTTTTCAAAAATGAACCAAACCAAACCGTTATGTTGTACTTGGTTCAGCCACAACTTTGAGGTGAAATCGAGCTACTGTCTAAAATCTATGTGAATGGCATATGAATGGTACTCATAAGTTCTAGGGTTTGGCTAGATAATTCTAGTTGGAGATTTCCAATGACTGGTTTCATCACTCCGAGTTTACACTTCTTTTAACTGAAGAAAGAGAAAAGTTTGTTGGAAACTGGAAAGTGCTTCCACCCCTTTGAAACCTATTGCGTTTCTAGTCGTTTTTGTTATCTTCTTTGACAAACTTATTTGAATTGAAGTTTGCATACATCTTTCTTTGTAGAAATCTGAATGTGACATGAAGAATACTAACATTTCTCAATACGAATGTTTTGGTAACAAAATATCAAGGTCTATTTACCCACTCCCCAAAATGTAGTCCATATAATAGAAAAAGTATTAAGCTCTTCATTAACTTTCTTTTCTTTTTGATTTGTGTGTATACTTTTAATTATGAATAATTTCTCTACCATCAATGGCAATCTTTTTTTTTTTTTTTTTTTTTTTTTGTTTTTTATCTAGCAATGGCGGATCTATTAAGGCGCAAGGAGGTGCAGTTGCGCCTCCCATTGCCAGAAAAACTATTGTAGGTGCTTCAAATTGCCTATTTGCTCAGCTAGTGTACAGATACCTTATTTTCATTTATATATATATATATATTACTCCATTTGCTTAAGTTTACAATGTAAATAAGGAAGTACCCTCCATTTGGATTCAAATAAAAATACTAGAAAATCGAATTCCCACCAAATCAAAATATGAAAATTCGGTTTTAGTGCAAAATACGATTTAGGCTAAAAATGATGGCTCATTAAGTCAATATATACTTCATACTAAAATCACATAAAATCAAGTTTTCTTATTTGATGTGTAAGGAATAAAAGCCGCCAAAAATTATCTTGAGAAAATAATTATTATAAAAAACCATTTTTCATACTTAGTCAATATTTTTACATAAAACAATTTTTATGGATGATATGATGTGTGAAAGGACTTAAGGTCAATCTTGTTGGTACCGTAACCAACCGAGCAATTAGCTAGGCTAGATCATCCACGTGCCATGCTTTGAGAGGTCATCACCTTAGCCAAAGAAGCATTACCACAAGTCACAACTCTAAGCAAAGCAAGAGGAGTCCCAGATTGGAAAACTACAAGAAGTGAAGACTCCCCCTCACCTATAAGAGGAGACCACTCTCCACTTAGGAGGGGATCTTTGGACTGGGCTTTATCTTTAGTCATGGGCTTCTCCCTTCTTCTCTTTATATTTGGGATCCATCCCCTTGTACGAATGTAAACATACATTATTATAATGAGAACATACTTCTCCGTGGACATAGCTCATTCATTAAGGGTGAACCACGTATATCTTGTCTTCTTTATATTTATCGCTTGCCCAAATCTTCACACATATGCTGAAGGTCCTCACCTTCACCCATCATCCACCATTCCACTTCTATCTAAGTTGGCCCTCCCAAAAAGAGCATCAACAAATCTAGATTAAAAAAAACCTTAGATGTTCAATCCACAAAGTTTTTAGCTTTTCAAAATTGCACCTCAGCTAAAAATTTCCTGGGTCCGCCGGTGCCATCAAGGGTGGTGCAGTCAAAACTTACAGAATTATGGGAAACATATTTCTTATTTGCATATTTGGGTTTCAGCATTTTAGTTGATCCAGGCCTCAAGGAAGCATTACTGCACAAGTGCATGGGAAAGAGAATATTGACGAAGAATTCTAACAGATCTTTGATTTGGGAAAGAGATATTGATGAAGAAGGTGAAACAAAGCACAAGTGCATGGGAAATAGAATATTGACGCTGACACATTCCTGATAATGTCACACAGGATTGTTCTCTTCACTCACTTTTTCTCAAGAAATGTGTTAAAAAGAGAGGCTGGTAAGCTCTTAATAGAGGACGCTGACACATTCCTGGTCATTTTTTTAATAAAAATCTTCGATGTCTACTAGTTTAGTTTTCTTCCAAATTAATCATGGACTTGGTAAAGCAGAGACATGATTCAAATTTTGGTTTCATATTGTTTTTTAATTGCGTTTATAATGAAAAAGAAAGTTAACGATGATACGTAAGAAGAGGATAATGATTGGGTCAGCCTCACAATGGTATCAATGGATGTTATAATTCCTCTTTGTTGTGCTATCAATCATCTCCCTGTGTGAGTTGCAATTTAATTAATGGATTCTGGTATTGTATCAAGAGCTGTTTCACTGCAGGTTCGGCGTACTGTTATTTCTATTGGCCCGGGTGACTTATCATTGAATGCAAGTTCTAAGACAGCAGATGAATATGCCTTCCAGGTAATTTGGCAAAATTTGGAATTGATTCTTTAATTTAATTGAATTCGAGCTTTTCCAGCGTAAAATAATATTTTTGTTGTCTGTTATTGTGAAGGATGCACTTGGAAAATCCTTGGAGTTAAATTTTCAAGATTGTTCTAGCCGGCTGTCTTGTGTTCTTCCCAAGTTATAACCTGGTGAGGAAACTATGCAAGCGTTGGCATGGAACAGGACAATGGTCTCAGCCGTTTTTTCTTCCAATGTCTATTTTCACAAATAAAAAATAAGAAAAATTAAGTATTAGACATAACTATCGTTACTAATTAGTATTTGAGACATAAAGTGTTTTTGTTTGGGTTTTAATACTTAGGAATCAAATTTTGTTTTGGATTAGGCCAAAGAGGAGGCCCAGATTCGTTGGCCCAGCTTAGAATTAATCACTAAAAAGATAACGGAACCCATCTTCTTTAAAAGCCTAGCCTAACTTTAAAACTTACAAAGTAAATGACGTTTTTACCCCCTGTAGGTTTCAAGTACGCCTAATTTGAAATTGGAGCTCTGGTTAGCTTTCAATTTCGTTCACTTTGACGTGGTGGAGCTCTGGTTCTTTTAGCTACAATTGGAGCTCTGATCTTCTGGCATGTTTTTGAGTCAATGTGCCGCACGCTGGAGTATATATATAGTTTTTATAATATTAATATATATATAATATAATATAAAGGAAAAATAAAATTTCGGAGGCCCTCAAAAGTCGGGGGCTTTGTGCAATGGCGCCACTTGTACCATGTCAAGGCCACCCCTAGGTTTAGGTTTGGGATGGAGAAGAATGACACTCGAATTACTACTTCTGTTCTCTCTCTTTAAACATGGTAAGGAGATGTAGACAATAGAAATTTAAGATACATTTTCAAAACAATTCACATGTGCTCGGGGAAAAATATGTAGACATTGAGAATTTTATGAATTTTTATAATAATAAAAAATTAGCAATAGATACATTGCATTGGAAAGGGGGAGCACTTATCTTGGGATTTGAACAGGTGACTAAGGGGGGAAGGGTAGAATTTTATGATATTTGAATGCTTGTTTTAGCCAAATCATATTGTCTCTCATTTGTCACACTCATTTCTCTAACAAACCCAAAATACCAATTACAAAAAGATTAATTCAAGTTTCAACCTTTTAGCTCATTATTTTAAAGCACTAACACACATGGAAACCAACAATCACAACATCACCTCATATATATAACCTGAAAAGAAGAAAAAAAATAATTTAATGTCATTGATGTTTTTTTTGTTTTTTTTGTTTTTTTTGTAACATTAGTTATTCACGTGTTTTTTTTTTAAATTATTTTTTTTATAACACTAGTTATTCATGTGTATTTTTTATAATTTTCTTCTACATGAAACTCCATGCATGTCACAAAATCTTCGTCTGATTCATAATGTAGACAATTTTTAATAACTTCAGGGATACATTTGATATATGCAAGGTACTTTTTATAGAAAAAATTATATACAAAGTTATAATGTGTATCCATCAACGAGTGTGACAATAAAAATATTCTGAAAAAATTGTCGTTTGCTAATCTTTCACTCCCCAAACTTCGAAACATGATGTAGCCTTTCATGTAGAGAGCAATTAGTTAATTATAATATTAAACCTCAATCTTTGGCAACGGTAGACTTGATGTTCTAAGAATAATCCAACATTTATAATTAAGTAAACGTAAAACTAGTTCGAAACGAAACTAGAAATATAATTCTTCAATTATGCCAAAGATCGAGATCTATTGAGAAGTGAATTTTTATTGTAAATTTATTTACAAACGACGTGATTTTTTTTTATTTTTTATTTTTACAAACTTGGGTGCAAGGGGGCACATTGCGTTGGCAAAATGATATGATATTTACAAAGCTATTTCTATAGTGGGACAATTCATCTATAACAAAGCTACACCGTCACAATTGACTAGCCACTACTAGATATCAGACTCATTACAAATATGTATTATCCTTGAGGTCATATGAGTCGAACACAACAAACAATTAGCAGCAACCCCTTTAACCCACATCCCAGAGCTTGATCTAAGAACACCACCAGCAGCAATGTACTTTTTGACAAATGAGTACAGCTGCAATAGCCAATATCATACCAAACAGTGCATACTGGGGCTTACTTGGGAGGAAGCCTGATCAAAAGCAAGTTACAAAATCTCTAGGCAGAGGCCAGTGAGTAAGAACGCCCACTCTACCCAAGTAGCCTACAAAAGAAACTAGTATTACGTCATAAAAGTTCATAGATATCTTGTAATAAATAAACGTTGGTTAACTATGGTTAGGAAGGAATTAATTCAGTTAAAGTCAACAATCTTGTACAACAGCTTTGATGCAGGATGCCTAGGACCTAAATTTATTAGTTTCCTAATATATTTGTTAGTTTCCTAGATTCTCTAATTTTCTAAATTCTAGTAGGATTTCTATTTTTCCAGATTTCTAGTTTTAAGTTTCCTACTTTATTTTGGGTTAGAATTTCTGTTTAAGCAAGGAATTTTTATTTCTTCTCCCCGACCTCCGATATTCTTCTTTGTTCTATTGTTTCTGCTCTTTGTCTCGTCTTTTCGAAACTCAAGTGGATGAAATATCATCTATAGAAAATTTAAAGTGATTTAAAGTGCCCAAGATGCCCTAACTTGGGTGACCAACCCTCCCATTTTAAGGATCAAATAGGACAGAGACAACCAATAATCTCCATCAATGGCCACCCACTACCAACACGACGAAACCCTCCTGTTTTAAAGTCATAATTTTTGACATTTTTGTCATGCGAAAGTTCCTAGAAATTTCGTCCCTTGCCATTATTGGAAGAGTCAAAAAGGTCTTTTTATTATAAGTGTTGTTATTTCCACCCTCATGTCTTATTTCCTCACTTACCTTATCTTTCCACCTATTATGTAAATTTGAAAAAACACATTCTTATCTTTCCACCCACCATTATTCCTAAAATATCCTTTATAAACCATGTGGCATGCCAACTCATCTAATAAAGCTAAGTCTTTTTAATTATTATTATTATTATATCCTAATTAATGCAATAATTACCAAAAAGTCTTTCCATCCCCCTCTTTCTTCCTCCTCCCCCACCCTCTTCCCACAAAATTTCCATTATCGCCAAAGTTCTCACCGGTGCCGCTAAACCCATCTCGCTCACTCATTCTCCCATGACGGTTCCCTCTCTTCACCATGGCAGTTGTATCGGATTTCTCACTGCCGTTGCATCATGATTCATGCCTCTCTCGTCTTCTATATTTTCTAGATCTATATATAAAGATAATTGGTTTGACGTTTCTATAAACGGCCGCAAAACCTCTATAAACGGCGGCGTGTTCATATTTTTTTTAACGAAATGAAAAAAAAACGTAAAAACTGCATAAGCTGAGAGAGAGAAAGAGACCTGGATTTAACGCTTCTTCTTGTCGGCCTCGAACCGCTTATCGAGATCAGCAAAGAAGCGGAACCTCCTGCGAGGGTTCTTGAGCACAACTGCAACAAGCATGCTAACTGATCCAAGTAAAATGCAGAGTAACCATAGTTACCATCTTAGTGGAACAATGCTAGCAAAAGCTCCCAAGAACACTAGAATGATAACTTGGAAGGCCACTGTGCAAACCATGACGCCTAGGAATACCTAGCTATCAAACATGCCCACGAATATGTTTATCTTCTCTATGTCACGGCTGTTTATCTCATTAAACACCTGATAAAAACAAAAGCAAAAAAACATCATTTGTATGTAGGATTTGAGTACTTATGTTGGTGTGTTAAGATTTTAGAGAGACGGATGAACACATGCATAGCCCAAAAGAAGTTATACAATGTATTAAATCTATGAAAGTGTGCACCAATGACTCTCTAAATCCTATTTAAGAGAAATATAAGATGTTCATACCCTTGGAGCGAATCTTGAAACCAAGAATGGTGTTCAAGTAAAGAGAATGGTCTCTTTCTTGTTGGCTCTCCCTTTGATGTTGATTCTCCACCTTGTAGCTCTCCAAATAGGTACAACGATATGTACCTCTCCAAAGCTCTTCAAAAAGAATTGAATGGGATGAGAGAATGAGTAGACAACAAGTGAAGAATGGTGCTAGCACCTTCACTTGATGTGATAGAATGAAGGGGTTATGGAGAGAGAGCTTGATGTTTTCTCTCTTCCAATTTCACCAACTTGAAAAACCCTAGGATGATAGGATTCCATAGCTACACACTTATATGATCAAAAATGTAAGAAGAGTGACAAAAATTCCCCCAAGCCTTAGTGTAGCCACACCCTCTTTTTTGTGTGTCATCTTTTGCTATCGTGGTCCAACACATTAATCATATAATGTGTTACATATGTGCCTAAGTCCATAAGGTCAAATCCCTTTTGAATTAAATTAATCTAATCAATTTAGTTACTCTAGTGACTTGACTAATTCAATCACTCACTTATCTAACGAGTGTTGGTCCCAGTCATCCTTAGTTGATCGTGTCAAGTGTCGGGTCAACTGTTTGACCTTTGACTTTTTACTTTGACCTTTGACTTTCACATTGACTTTGACAAAGTCACAAAATCATTCATTCTCTTCATAACTTCCCAATCGATTCATTTTCGGTGTGCGATGTTATAGATTCTAATTAGCGAGGCAGTGAGTATGAATGATTCACTCTAAATCAAGTGTGAATTGTATCCCTCCATACCATTCTCCCTATTGGTAAAGGCTAATTATAATTAGTCATTACAGGGCTTTCACAAGCCATGAGTGATACCTAGCAGTATGTCATGGCTACCCAAGCTAAAAAGAATTCATTTAGAGAACCTAGTCAGTTTGTGATTACAATGCAATTCGATCCTTTTCTAATTCAATACTCTATGTTATATTCTTGGGATATGGTAAACTTATGTCAAAAATCCCTAATATGACATCTCTTGATTATATGATTCAATTTGATGAAATTGCAAACGTTCTTGTTTCAATTTCCATCCAATACTTTGCCCAAAGATTCACGAATCATATCTTTAGAGTATTTTATCTTCTTACTAAGGGCAGAGATTCCTTGTTGTACATTCACCTGTCTCTGCGTACACGCTGAGAATCTTGAGGAACACCTTTAAGTTACATCATTTTGATATGACCGTATAATGTTCTCAAAGAGAAATAACATATACACAAGACAACTGTGATGTCCCAAGTCTAAGGATTAATTTTCATTATCATAACTTAGAATTCTTTGTTTGACACTTGTGAGTAAGACTTCCATACAAGAATTCTAGAGTTGATCGCGTTCAATGGACTCCATCTTCTATAGAGCACCCACACATCTATCTCAATGTCTCTACACGAATGACTTAAGACTAGTCATCCTCCTGATTGAGTAAACATAATGTGTACCAGTCTTTGCGGGTCACCATTGTGCAATTAGTGATCCTATGACCAGGAACATTTTAGGATACAATATTTATATTTATGGAAAGGTCTCGTGCATCTAATTACTTTAGACCACTTTCCATTTATATCTTAATCCATGGACTTGTTACTTTGTGTACGTTATGTATCTAAAGCAACATTCTTGCCCCTTTTCTATTATATATTATTTCCTTAGAATTAACCATTTTATATTGGCTTCTAGGGTATATATCTAAAAATGGGGTCATGTAGTTGCCTCTCTCTCTTTGAAGTTCTATAGGCCCATAAGGTTTCTGACAACTTTTCATACCATTGCCTTGGATTTTCCTCAAGCATTTTCCTGATGATATTAATAATCGCCTTGTTGCTTGATTCTGCTTGTCCATTTGTCTGAGCATAGTAAGGAGTAGACTAGAGTAACTTGATCTTGCCATATCTTGGATCTCCCTGGATACTAAGGAAGTCCTTCTGTCAGTTGTGATTGATTCAGGTATGCCAAACCTGTGTACAATATGCTCCTCAATGAAAGTGATGATCTCTTGAGATGTAGTGGATTTGATTGGTTTAGCCTCCACCCACTTAGTGAAGTAATCTGTAGCCACAATGCTGAAACAGTGGTGTTTTCTACTAGCTGGATAGATCTTACCAATGAGGTCCATTGCTCATCCCATGAATGACCATGACTTAACGACTGGATTCATAGGAACTGAGGGAGCTTGTTGGATTGGTCCATGTTTCCGGCAAGCTTCACATCCTTTGGAATATTCTATGCAGTCTTTCATCATGGTAGGCCAAAGAAAACCGTACCTTCTGATCAGCCAACACATTTTTCTTCTGTTTTGATGAGCTCCACAGATTCCCTCGTGAACTTCTCCCATGACTTTCATGTATTTTTCCTTACCCAAGCACCTCGAGAGTAGCTCATCCTTGCTCTTTCGGACCAAATCTCCATTCCACATGAGATAGTTCAAAGCCATGATTCTTATCTTCTTCTCAGAAGGAAGGGTTGGATACTGCAAATAACTAATTATAGGCAATCTCCAATCCTCTTCAGTCATTATGGCAGAATTGACATCTATCTCCATTCCCCTTGTCAGAATAGATGGTAAACTCTTCTTCCTCACTTTGATGATTCTATGTACGCAGTCTTCAGGTATTTGCACTCTTGTGGCTATCTGAACCATTTCATTGGCTGTAAAATTCTCTTCCCTTGGAATATGTTCCCAAGTGGCTTCCCTAAATTCTGCAAGGAGATTTCTGGTTGCCACCAAATAAACAGTTAAGGAAGGATTCAAACACTTGCATTCTCCAGCAATCTGCTTCATAACAAGCATGGAATCTCCCAGCATCTTGAGGCCAATGATCAAAGCTTTGTACTCTGCTATGTTATTGGCGCACTGAAAATCTAGCTAGAATGAATAACAGTGTATGATTCCCAATGGATATGATTCCCAATGGATCTTCTAAAACAATTCCTGCTTCAGAAGCCAGGTCAGTTTTAGACCCATTAAAATACAACTTCCAAGTGGTGAGATGGACTAAGTATATGGGATTATTGAGTAGATGTGAGCTCTACTCAGCAGATCTGCATTGGCTATATCCATAGAATGCATGTGTCATTGCCCAACAGCGTAACTTAGTTGGAGAAGACTATTCACATGCAATGTTACACGAGCAAAATTGATACTCGCAACAAACTCTTAGCAGGAAAAGAAGCTGTGGCAAGAGCTTATAATAAGAGAGTTAAAAACAGTAGCTTTGAAGAGGGAGAAATTGTTTGGAGAGCAGTTCTGCCCCTTGGATCCCACGTGGCTGGTTATGGAAAATTGTCACCCACATGTGAAGGCCCTTTTCTAATTAAACAAGTTCTTGGATTGGGGGCATAGAGGTTACAGGACCAAGATGGAGAAGTCCATACTGCGCCGATTAATGGCAAATGGTTAAAGAAGTTCTATACAACTATGTGGGATTCACAAGCAGTATACATAGATCCTAGGATCGAAGGAGAAGTGGATAGAACTATTGCTTGACTTTTGAATAGTTGATGTATATATGTGGTTCATTTTTGTCTATTCTACCCATCTGTGATGTTTGAATGAGGCGAAAATACGAAAAATGCAAGATTGGCATAAATAAATAGAACTTTTCATTCATAATTGTCATTAATAAATGTTACATAATAGATATTTTCTAAAGGCCTAGTTTCTTGAGAGTCTCCTGCAATCCGGCCTTCTTAATGGAGATCTCCTTCTGGAGAAGCACTCCTTGATGAATGGAGACCTCTGCAATCTCTAGTTCATGCCTTGAAGCTGAAACCATGCTCTGCACAAGGAAGGTGGACTTGGTCTTCGCACCTAATCCAGCTCCAATATTCTTTTGCCTCTCCCTCAGTGCAGCTAGTTGCTTCTTGAGGTCCTCAATGTGCTTCTCCAGATTATCAGCGGCAGATTTAGTCTCCTTGTAGTCTGCAACCAATACTTCCAGTTTTGACTTCTGCTTCTGATAGTCTACCATGTTGGCTTCATGTGTAGCCTTGCAGAATTCAGAAGCACTAAAGGAGGGTATGAGATCTTCATATCGGTTGTGAAGTTTGATTACATCTTTGGCCAGACCCAGGCTAATCTCAAGAATAGGTCGAGGAGCCATGTTCTCCCTGTGCAGCAGGTCCAGATCTTTCATTAGTTGATCAATAATTTCTTTGTTCTCATCTAGATCCAACTCAGCCGACTGCCAGATTTTTATTCTGTCCACCGCCTCATCCACTGCTCTGAACTTGGCTTTGCTTGGAGTGGCTCCTAGGTTTTCAATCCTCTGCAGCTGAGCATCCAGGTCCATAGCTTCAAATTCTGCCAATTCTGGATCAGCAAAGGAGGTTGTGGTTGATGAGCCTGGGACAGAATGAAGGGGCATCTGCATAAACTAGCCCCAGTTAGGTTCTGTCACAAACTAAAATCAGGAAATGGGATTCTGAGGCCTAGCAATACTTACAGCCACGATCATGGGCTTGAGAGGGCTTCAGTAAAAAATAAGGATTTAATTTGCAACAGACGATTAGCGATCACAGAATTTTTAGCAATCCAAATTACTCAAATTAAAATGCTGAAAATCGTTTTAATTTCTTTTGTTTTCCAACCCTTTTTTTCTCGGTAACCAAACAATCAGGCCAGCAAAAGCTCTAAACAGCAGCGTGTTCATATTTTTTTAACGAAATGAAAACAAAAAAGTAAAAACTGCATAAGCTGAGAGAGAGAAAGAAACCTGGATTTGACGCTTCTTGTCGGCCTCGGACCGTTTATCGAGATCGGCGACGAAGCGGAACCTCATGCGAGGGTTCTTGAGCACAACTGCAACAAGCATGCTAACTGATCCAAGTAAAATGCAGAGTAACCATAGTTGCCAGCTTAGTGGAACAGTGCTAGCAAAAGCTCCCAAGAACTCTACTATAATAACTTGGAAGGCCACTGTGCAAACCATGATGCCTAGGAATACCTGGCTGTCAAACATGCCCACGAATATGTTTATCTTCTCTATGTCACGGCAGTTTATCTCATTAAACACCTGATAAAAACAAAAGCAAACAAACATCATATGTATGCGGGATTCGAGTACTTATGCTGGTGTGTTAAGATTTCAAAGAGACGGACACATGCATAGCCCAGAAGAAGTTACAGGCTGTATTAAACGTGTTGATGATGCAAGAGAAAACCAGTGTTGTTTTTAACCAGTAAAATGTACCTGGCAAAACACAAATGCGTTGAATATCACAGTGTCTAGAACTTCAGTTGCATCTGAACCAGAAAGTCCAAGTAGCTGTTTCCCATAGAAATTGAGAACTCCAAGGACAATCAGTTGATATATACTCTGGCCAATGATATTCCACCACATGGCCTTGGTTATGAAGCTTGAACCCCTCCCAACAGGGGGCCTTTTCATAAGTCCATCATTTGGAGGCTCTGTTGCCAGTGCCAATGCCCCAAGAGGGTCCATAATCATGTTGACCCAAAGCAATTGCACAGGGGTAAGGGGAGCAGATCCTGAAAGAGATGTGAAATTTATCGTTATTTATTTGTGTGTTTCTAAACAAATATAATGGTATAGCATGCGAGAAAAATCTGCCAGACCAACAAACCTGAGACACATGCAGAAACAAAATTGATTATTAGAGCAACAACGTTAACTGTCAACTGGAACTGCACAAACTTCTGAATGTTTACGTACACTGAACGTCCCCATCTGGCCACATTTACTATAGTCTTAAAATTGTCATCCAATATGATGACATCAGCACTTTCCTTGGCAACCTGTATGTACCATCCATGAATTGGCTATTTAGAACTAGGAAGAACATCCAATTATCAAGCAGCCAAGAGGTGTTAGAAAGCAACATAAATTCACAAAAAGAACAAGACACCAATTTCTTTTTCGAGTAAATGTTATACAAGTTACAACAATCAAGTTGCATTCACCAGCTTCTTGGTAGGAGGGTACTGAAGAGGGCAGTTCTTATCACATCTAAGGCTTTTTCAGGTTATTTCTGTCTAAGGGTAAATACGGGCACGAGGCACCAAAATAGTAATTTGAAACTACAGCCTTAATTGTTTTTTCTTCGGGCTATGCACCAAGAATATATCTTTAACATAATTGTTTTACTCAGTAACATGAAGCGCCATGTGTCCTACCATCAAAGATTATGTGTCTTGTCAATGCATGCTACATGCGACATACATGAAATGAGTTTGAGTATGTGACAAATCATGTTAGTAGCCAAGTCATGGAGTAAATCAATTTTGTTGGATGAAAACATTTGAAAGTTTCAAGGAAAAAAAAGCTGCAAAGTGATAGTAAGGAGAAGTTATGGGAACTGAAATTCCAAGGATTAAATCCTCAGTCTGAAAATGGGTGTTATAGAATGAGTTAAAAGAAGTGAGTCACTTCCGGCTTGGCTTGTAGTCGTAGTCTTTTATCTTATGTAGTGGTTGGCTTTCCTACACGCACGCAACCGCTGGAATGCCTCTTTGGTATTTGAGTAAGATGATGATTGGTCATCAAGGTTGAGATACACACAAGAAAAAGTAGCTGAGACACAAACCTCTGTTCCTGCTATGCCCATAGCAAGTCCAATGTCTGCCTCGTGCAAAGCAGGAGCGTCATTGGTCCCATCGCCAGTCACTGCAACTACCTCACCAAATTCATCTCTCAGAGTTTTTACCAAGGTGTGCTTATCCAACGGTAAAGACTGAGCCATCACCTGTATCCACATGAACATTTAAATTTTTTGTGAACATCTTTAAATAGTTATGGTTGAGGGTGAAAATTTTCCAATGAAATTATTTAGTAACCTGAATTCTCGGTATAACAGCTTTCTTCTGCTCAAGAGACATGTTACAAAACTCCTGTCCTTCTATGGCTAAACCATCTTCTGTGAGTATGCCACATTCTTTAGCTATGGCTTTAGCCGTATTTAAATTGTCACCAGTGACCATTCGTACTGTTATTCCAGCAGCTAAACAAGTTTGAACTGCATCCTTGACCCCAGGGCGCACAGGATCCTTGATACCGACAACTGCTATCAATGTATAGCCATCATCTGGGATGTCATTTTCAATGGAAGAGTCATCTATATTTTTGAAAGCCAAGCAGAGAGTTCTCAAGGCTTCAGAAGCAAAAGAATTAATGACATCCGTGATATTCTTTTCCTGTTCTGGGGAGAGAATGACAGATTCTCCTTTAAAGTCAATAAATTTGTTACACATTCCCAGTACTTTTTCTGATGCACCTTTGCAAAAGGCTTGTTTCTCACCATGAGGATTAGCTACAAGCACAGACATTTTCTTCCTCACAGAATTGAAAGGTTCAACCTTAAGAATATTAACCTCTCTGCGCACGGCATCAAAATCGCCACCCAAAAGTAAACCAAATTCTAATAATGCTGACTCTGTTGGTGTCCCCGAAATGGAGGTCTTTCCATCTTCCTTAATAACCTGAGAGCTTGTATTTTGGAATATAACCTGTAAAAGGATGCTTGATGCTCCAGATATTTCTGATCTCAATATTTCTCTACTCTCATTACCTCTTACATCCAAAAGATTTTCACATATCCATATCTTGTTAACTACCATGTGGTTTGTGGTTAATGTCCCTGTTTTATCTGTGCAGATGCAATTAGCAGAACCCATTGTCTCACATGCTGAGAGATGCCTTACGAGTGCCCTATCATTCATTAATTTTTTCATAGCAAAAGCAAGGCTCAGAGTCGCTGCCAATAGTAATCCTTCGGGAACTGCAACAACAATTATAGTTACTGCAATGGCAAAGTAGTTCAATAGGATTACTGCATCGGTTGAAGACCAATCAGTGATCTCGTTGTTAAGTATTTTTTCCACCAAAAATCTTACTGCCAATACCAAAAATGTCAACACAGCAAAAGTCAGACCAATTTTACCAATAATTCTAGCAACACCATTCAGCTTTACCTGCAGTGGGGTCTCATCTTCTTCTCCTTCACTCAGAGTTTCCATCAACTTTCCCCATTCAGTTCTCATACCAACTGTTGTCACCAGCATTATACCTGACCCATCCTGCACTTTAGTTCCTGAAAGAAGAAAAGGCTTCTCTTCATATACATGCACCGGCTCACTCTCACCTGACAAGCTTGACACATCAATCAGTAAAGAGTATCCTGATATGAAAAATCCATCAGCTGGAACTTGGTCCCCAATTGACAAATGCACAATATCTCCAACAACCAAGTCATAAATGGAAACTTTTTGTCTTTTTTTATCCCTAGTGACCTGAACGAAAATCTTTTTCTTCTCCCTGTCCAAATCCTTGAATTGCAATGACTGTCTGTAGTCACTAATGGCAGTAACCATAACCACTAAAACTATACTAATTAGAATTCCCACACCATCGTCCATGCCTTTTGGCCACCCCTCAGTGGCAATTCCAACTCCTATTGAAACCACAGCGCATACCAGAAGGATAATTAATGTTAAGTCTTGTAGGGCTTCCCATACAAACATAAAAAATGTTCCAGGAGGTTTCTCCGTATAGCGGTTTAAGCCATAAACATTTTGCCTGATTGGTATGTTACTATCCTTGACACCTTCATCTAGCGAGACAGAGACTTTCCTTAAAATCCCATGAATTCCACCATGCATTTTCAAGGCCTTAATATCACGGCCACGCGTGATAGATGCAAGTTCATCTGGGTGAATGCTGAAACCTGCAGTTCTGGCATCTTCAGACGGCTTGTATTCATCCTGTCCTGGCTTTTCATTGGATCGATCACCCGCACCATGCATTTTCAAGGCCATAATATCATGGCCACACATCTGGGTGAATGCTCAAACCTGCAGTTCTGGCATCTTCAGACAGCTTGTATTCATCCTGTCCTGGATTTTCATTGGATTGATCACCAGCACCAGCTTCATAAGATCACATAAGAAAGAGAGAGAAGGAATGAATACATACTTGACCTATAAACTTAAAGATGATACCTTTAATAAACTGCAGTGCTGCATTCTGAACGCAAAGAGCAACGTGAATCTTTTCCTGGTAAAACAAAGAAGAATAACAAAGTCAAAAAACAGATGACAATCATAGTCCCCCAGAACTATAGTAGCAGTAAAAGTTCACAAGTCAAAGTCTTCAACTGAAAATAAAAGAGTAACCACCGAGTATATTCAAACATATATAGCTTACAACCAAATTTGTGCATCTGCACGCATATATGCAGTTGTTTCTCCTGTACGGTCCTCAAATAAGATCTTGTCCTATTATCAGTTATTACATCAGATTTGAACTACTCTCAATGCATCTCAGCATTCAATATATACAAGGTATTAAAAGTTGTTGCAGGTCTGAAAACACAAACATTTACAGAACTATTAACAAACAATTGATATAACTAAGGGCTTGTTTGGGACTGCTTCTCTAGGAAGCACTTCTGCTCATAAGCGCTTCTAACAAAAGCGTTTTTATTATAAAGTTGTTGAAAATTTCATTAAAAATCGAAGTGCTTCCTGAAAAAGCACATGGAAAGTGCTTCTCCAGAAAACACTTCTAAACTTTTTTGCCAAACGCCGTCAAAAGCATTTTCGGTTGTCAGAAAGCGCTTTTAGCCCTTTCAGAAGCACTCCCAAACGAGCCCTAAATGAAGTCCAAAAGTTACGAAAAAAAACTTTCCTTTATTTCTAAAGGGAGAATTCAAAAGCCTATTTTTCAATTTTGTTTGTTTTGAACAAAATAATCTTCCAGGTTTGAAATAGTATATTATGGGATTTCAACAACTATCATGATCATTTGGTGGAGTAATAATTGGTGGTGACAATTATTATTTCAGAAAGACGACCAAATCGGTGTGTGCACCGTGTTTGACTGAAAATCACAATCAGCTGAAATTAAACAAATAGTTGAGCATGATCTGCCAACTCCTGCAACCCCCTTTTTGGTTTTATAATCAAACAAGACGTTAATGTAAAAACAATTTTTCTTGATAATTTAATACGATCCATAATACTCCTTACCAAAACAAAACATAAAAAGATGAATGATAAAACACGACGAAACCCTCTTGTTTTAAAGTAATTATTTTTGACATTTTTGTTCCCTTGCATTGGAAGATGAAGTCAGGTCTTTTTATTATATTCGTACCCATCAACGCGACCAGAAAAACTCTTTTTTTATTTTAACGTTTTTGACTATGCGTCGTTTTTATGTAAACCAGAGACTAACCTACTACGCGTCGTTTCTGTTGAGGCAAATGAAATTGAGGTTTTTAATTTTAAACGCAAGTACCTAATTTCGACCAAGCGTCCCTTCACAAACAAAAATAAAAAGTACTGCATCGGAAAATTGATATTTTCTTTTCCTATCTCCAAGGCGTAATGGAGCCTACCAATACAATAGATTAGTACACAAGGTTGTATGATTTTCCTATCTCTACGGTGTATTGGAGCCCGTCAATACAATAAATTAATACACAAAGTTGTCTATAAATATAATCTCCTTACATTTTCGTAGTCAGTCAAACGTGAGTCCAACTTGGTGTGAGGGCATCAATACAACCAACTCTCAAAACGGAAGGGGATCGAAAAACATTACTACAATAAAGAAATGGCTTGTGCTCCCTGAAACATTGGTCAATTCTCACTTTACCTCCTAAAAGTTAAAGTGACTCACTTTACTCCATTGTCCAAAGTTTGATGTTCCACATTGCCCATACCGTTAACTCTATCCAAAAGTCCATTAAGTTTAATGACGTGGCAGAGGTGTTTTAGTAATTTTGTGCACCTAAGTTTTTTAATTACTTCGAAAAATAAAAATACACACATAAAATTGAAAATAAAATAGATTTTATGTGGAAAAAAAAACACCCTACCCATCCCTTCTCCCCCAGTCGCACCAAATCCTCCCATTCCTTCTCTGTCCTTGTAACCCCCCACCCACCAGAAACCCATCACTCCCCTCCCCCACCCGCCGGCCCCCCCCACCCCCACTGATTTCTTACGCCTCCCCCTCCCTCTGGTTTTTTCTACCCTACTCCCACAGAACCCAAGCCCCCATACCCATTAATTAGCTTTCAAGTTTCATACCTCCCATCCCAAAAATCAAAACAAAAACCCTCACTCTGATTTTTTCTACCTCACTCCCACATAACCCCAACCCTCATACCCATTAATTAGCTTTCAAGTTTCATGCCTCCCATCCCAAAAATCAAAACAACAACAAACGAAGAGAGAGAGAGAGAGAGAGAGAGAGAGAGAGAGAGAGAGAATTTTTTAAAGTTTTAAATTTATTTTGTATTTTAATTTTTTAAAGTTATTAATTTTTTTATCAATGATGGAGGTGGGCTCCACTTTGCCATATTACCCACTCAAATTTATGAATAAAAAATTTACAAATTTATAAATAAACCCAATCCTAGACATATATTTATAAAAAAACCCAAGCACTATTTAAATATAGAAACACACCCAAAATCAACCCCAAAGTTAACTTTTTGGGTGTGTTTATAAATGGGTTTTGAGTGTGTGTAATGATGGGTTTTGGGTGTGTTTATAAAGTGTTTTGGGTGTTGGGTTTTTTTATAATTTCAACATTCATTTTGGGTGTTTTAGTGAAACTCCCTAAAAAATTTAGGTGCACAAAATTACTAAAACACCCCTGCCACGTCATCAAACTTAATAGACTTTTAGATGGAATTGACGGTAAAGGGTAATATGAAACATCGTCAATGAAGCAAAGTAAGTCACTTTAACTTTCAAGAGGTAAAGTGAGAATTGACCGGCGCATTGTAAGCCGAAACAAATCCTTATGCCTGCTTGTTTGGCAGCAGAGAAAATCAAGGAAAGAAAAAACTTCTTGTCTTTCTTTCTTTCATTTTTTGAGTTGTAATCCACAATGCTCATCTAAATAAATATCATCCATTCAGTAGGAAATGACGATTTAATTTACAACCTTTTTAGCAGTCCAAATTACACAAATTAAAATACTGAAAATCGTTTTAATTTCTTTCGTTTTCCTACGCTTTTTTTCTCGGTAACCAAACAATCGGGCCAGCAAAACCTCTATAAACGGCGGCGTGTTCATATTTTTTTAACGAAATCAAAACAAAAACGTAAAAACTGCATAAGCTGAGAGACAGAGAGAGAGACCTGAATTTGACTCTTCTTCTCGGCCACGGACAGCTTAGCGAGATCGGCGACGAAGCGGAACTTCCTAAGAGGGTTCTTGACGAGCGCGACGGCTTTTCTCCATCTCCGAATAGTTTCCTGCGAAGGATTCTTGTTCTCCACCACTAAGTCCTTCACGCACCTCTCCAATTCCACTGTTTTTTTCTCTGCCCTCACAATATTCAGAGAGACGCAGAAAAAGAGAGAGTCGCTCAGAAGCGAAGACTAGAGGGAGAGAGGGAAGGGAACAGGAAGGGGAAGCCAAAGGTGTGGACGACTAGAGAGCGGGAAAGGGAACGCACTTTTAAGATCCAGAAGTCCACACGCGGATGGTTGGACGACTAGGGAAGATTCCGTACATATGCGCGCAAAACGTTTGTCCTGTGGCCTGCCGTAGATGGAGGCCACGTCACGTAGTTTACCGCGTTGGTGGGGGATTATTTAATCAGAGGATACTGTTTACGTGTGCATTATTAGCGGGAAAAGCGTCGTCACATGATTTTGATTTCCTTGGCGGATTATACAAATTATAAAGTGACACTAATTTTCCCTTTGAGGATTAATTATTGTGGTAAAATTTTGGACTCATCACGTTGGTCTTTTTTTTCTTTTTTCTTTTTTATTTTTTGTGAAAATCACGTTAGTAGTGAAGAAGTATCCCAGACTTTTTTAGTTATAAAGAAAAATAATAATAATAACTTGACCAAAATACCCTACTTCTGAAATTCTCGAAGTTTGACTTAGCATTATAGGCTAAAATATAAGAATAATTAGTGTATAGACTATAGTTTAGTGTTTGCCAAAAAGAGAGTATAGTTTAGTGATAAAAAAAAATTAATAATTAAGATATCATAAATTAAGTATTTTGGTTTTGGATTTGGTGAATGGGTTTGGGATTTTGTTTTTTAATAGGACAACAATGTGGCCCAACCCTAAACTCTAAACCTGAATAGATGAGGAGTATATATATATATATATTTGCCCCTACAGAGAGCTTCCATTGAGGGATCCCTCAAATAAGCTTATCTGAGGGACACCCTTGTAGGCCCCACTCCATATTGTATTTCACTAATCCAAACCGTCTATTTTGTAGATACTCATTCAAAGATCATCTCTACAAAAAATCACTTGAATCCGATATCATTTAACCACTCAATTGAGTTATTGAAATTTTAGTACTCTCTTGAAGCACCGTGTTCATTGATTTTGTAAAACACAATTGGATGTCGAAACGATTTTAGATTTGTCTAATTTTTTGTAAGAATGATCTATGAATGAAGACCTAAAAAATAGATGATTTGGATCATTGGGAAAAAAATTGTACGGTACCCTAAAGGGCGTCCCTCAAATAAAATTATTTGAGGAATCTCTCAATAGAAAGGGACTGTTTGCCCCTAAGCACATGTGCATGTGCCATTGGTATTTTTTTAAGAATTAAAACAATAATGGGTAGTTGTGTACCCATTAACTGCTTTTTTTTTATAAAAAAAATTAATATACAAAGTGCAAATTTACCATATTATCCTCATTAATAATTTTAATTCTTAATGTTTGCATTAACCAATGACATTTTATGGATGATTTGGATTATTGAAAAAAACAATTTGTAGGGTATTCATCAAATAAAATTATTTGAGGAAATCCTCAATAGAAGGGGACTGTATATAGGGTCCTTCTTCGTTATGGAGTCCACTATGCGGATTGGTTACGAATATCTATTTTTGACCGTGCGATGATATCAACTTTAAACCCTTCATTTCTTCTTTCTTTCATCGAGTTCACTCTCTCTCTCTCTCTCTCTCTCTCTCTCTCTCCCCTCTTTCTTTTTAATTCTTGCTTCTGTTTTCTTTCCTTTCCTTCTCTCTTCTCTCTTTGTTTCCCTCTTTTATCCCTTTATCTCTCTCTCCTCTGTCTTTTTTTCCTTCTTCTTCTTTCTCTTCACCAGTTTTCTTCTTCCTCATTATTCATTATCTCTTATCTATATTTCTCTTTCTTTTTTTTTAAATCCTGTTTTTCCCCTTCTCTCCTCTAAGAATTATTTGAGGAAAAAAAATGTTATTATTTTGAAAGGTTTTTAAATTTTTAACGTTCTGATTTTGATTTAATATTTTGGTTGTTTTCTTTTATTTATTATGGGAGTTACAATTGTTTAAATTTTCAGTTTTTATTTTCTAGTCATTGCCTTAATTTTTCTAGTTAAATGTGTCTGGAGGTTACGAGTATTGGATGCCTATAAAAGGCCACTCCTCCTTCACATTTCAACACATCACAATTAGGGGTGGGCATCAAAACCGGAATACCGAAACCATCCCAAAACCGTATCAAACCGTGCCAATCTTGTGCCGTCCCGTTTGGTGTTGACGTGTAAACGGGATGATACCGTGTCATCCCGTTATTGTTTGGCACGACATCGATTTCACATTTGTGATCCCGGTTGGTGTCATACCGTACCGAACAATACATGAGTCTTATTAATTCTAATTTAATTTCAGTTCCACCCCTACTCTCCTCCACACATTTCTTCGACTCCTCTTTCTCTTTGTTTCTCTGCGTCCTTTCCTTCCTCTGTCTAATTCTTCTCTTCTCTTTTCTTCTCCGTTCTCGAAGCCGTAATTCCCAAATCCTCCACCATCAATCGATCTCATCTTCTTCTTCTTCTCCTCCTCCTCTTTCTCTCTCTGTTCTTCTCCAAACTAGTGGAAAAGGAAAGCCCCAACCCAAAATCTCTGAGTTTTTGTTACTCTGTTGTGTTTTAAAACAAATTTAATTGGCATTTTTGTTTTTAATTGAAGGATCTTCCTCATTATCTTTTATTTTTAAGTGCTTTCGTTATTTGGGTTGGGTATCAAAATTGTTGCAGGTCTGTTGTGTATTATCATGCCTTCATTGAAAAGAAAAAGAAAGAGAGTAAGGATTCTGCTTTTTATGATTGGGTTTGGGTTAACAGGAACAATTCAATTGCATGAGCAACGGTTTTATGGCTTGGAGATGTCTATCTAACTGTGAACGCGCTCATAGCGGACCTTAAGCCTGCGTATTGAGGTCATATCTTGGAGTTTTGTACACCGTCATTACTTGGACATAGAGAGGCTACAAAGGCTTTAGGACAATGTTTTTGACGTGCTTTCACTATACCAGACTTGCTTTTTTAATCTTAGCTTTTATTTATTTATTTATTTGTTTTGTTAATTTTTACTTTACTGTTAAAACTTTATTTTATATATTATTTATATCTAAAAGTTTTGAATAGAAATTTTATTTTAATAACAATCTAAAGTCTTTGGGCCAGTTTGGGATTGTTGTGTTGTGAAAATAATTACTTTCGGATTTGCTGTAAGAGAAATCAGCTGTGAATGAAAGTAGTTTGTCATTTGGTAAACTTTATATTGAAAGTGATTTTGATACAAAAATCTATTTAAAAGTTATTGGTAAATATTTGTGTAAAACAGCTGTGAGCTGTGGAAATGACTAAAAAGGACATGATATTGAAAAAAAATTTTATTCAAGTGTTTGGTATTTTTTTTTATTCAAGTATGTTAAAAGTTTTCGTTACCGTATTTGCTATTGGTACAAGTTCAATTTAGTTTCTTTCTTTAATTTAAAAATAAAAACGGAGAAGGACGAAACCTTCTCTAAAACATGACTTCAGTTTGCGAATGGCTGATGGTTTGAAGAGGAAAACTCGATATATCAAGACTTCGTTGCTAGTCAAACTTGAGATATCTAGTTTTCCACTTCAACCCATCATCCATTCGCAAACTTGCCAATGCAATGTGGGACGTCGTTGTTTACTGGCAAAACGACTCGGAAAACCCGCATTGGATATAATCGCAGCGTACGGAGTGCTTCAGGGATTTTGGAATGGAGTTTACACTGTTTGAATGAGGGACTTAGAGATGGGATTTGGGGAATGTGGAAGTTGAAAGTTCCATATGAAAAAGGATTTCAGAAATTTTGTGCAACTTGAAAGAGGAACTTTGGGAGGCTAAAGTCCCATGAGTAAGTAACACCTGAATAGGCGTTATTTCACAAAGACCTTCTTTACGCGAGTGAGATTTCTGTAATGCAAAGATGAAGAAGAAGAAGAGAAGGAAAAATAACAGACGACGGAATTTTAAAAAAGAAGAAGAAGAAGACGGAGATTTTGGTGGAAGGTTTTGGATACTTGGTGGGGGGTTTATATAAGATTGAGGACACTTGCACCATGATCCCTCGGGGTATATATAAGTCAGCATGCTGCAGCAACTGATGAGCCAATAAGAACCAATCCTGGTGGTTCCGCTGCAATATTAATGCTGGCAGTAGTGGTAGGTAGACCACACTGTATGCATTCATGGTAAGACTGAAAACCATTCATGGTGCATGCGTGTTCTATAATTCTATTCAGTTCTTCTTTTCAGCTTCCTCCATCAAGGATTGTAGTGATGGATAGAAGAACACTAGTGTTTTTCAAATATCCACACAACCAATTACAACCAAAAAATTTCAAATATCCACTCCACATCACCAATGATGATAACAGAAACAGAAACAGAAAGCATTGATTGGATGGTGTATAAGTTTTGCATGTCTTGACACTAACAAAATTGGAAGCTTCGTGTAACCCAGCAAAGCAATTACATATTAATGCTGGTTGCAATAGCAGTAGCAGTAGGTGAGTCAAGCAAAGAGTGAAGAAAAGGAAACCAAAGAGCAACTGGACGTGGGTTGGGTTTAGGTGGAAGGGGGAAAGAGCAAGGCAGGGGTGGTATAGAAAATATTAGAATTCTTAGAGAGTTGTTTTTTTGGCTTGTGTCCATGTGGTGGATGTGGCTTCCACGTCGGTATGAAAATAGGGTCTTACGCTTGCCACATCACCAATTTAATAGAAAATAAAACATCACCAGACGAGACCTAAATCTCGTTCTCGTTAAATTGCTTGTTCAAACACACCATACGCGGAACCAAAAAAGAAATCAATAGCTTTTGTCTCTTAATCATGATTTACAGGACCTTAAACTTTAGTCATTGCCTCTTTTTCCCCCCTCCTATCTTGATCTGAATATAGGAATCCATTAACAGGAGCACCAGAGTGCTCAGCCCAAGCAACCAATACACCACCAGCAGGTTACATTGTTAGAACTTCCCAAATTGCCTAATTTCATAGTTGTAAAACGAACATTTAAAGACTTTCGAAACTGCGACTGAATTCTGTCACTCTGATTTTGCAACATATGATTCAAGTTTGTGCAGCCAGTCCACATATTGAGCTTGCTCCTTTTTGTGAAGGTGGTGGAGGAGGAAGTTGGTCAGGCTTTCTCCAATACCCTTGGATACTAGATATTTCTTAAGCTCAACTTGTAATTTCTTGTCCAAATCGCTGCCAAAGATACAGACAAAAAACAAGAAAGACTAGAATAAGAAAATAAATCTAGGAATAAAAAAAGGAAGAGAAAGTTTCACTATTCAAAGACAAGAAAGCAAACATATAGTTAGGCAAGTAAACACAGTATTTATATGCAACAATAATAGGATAGATGACTTTCAGAAAGCAACTGAAGTAGGGTAATCCCACAAAAGAAATTATAAAATTAAGCATGGAAAAGATAGTCCAGATTAAGTAGAAAGCAGAGCAATGCAAGATGGATAAGCAAGCCAAAATAGGTTGGTTTTCAGGTACAATTTGAAATAAAGAAACAGCACTTCATTTAGATATAAAGAAGTGTACAATCTGATATTACAACAATTTGGAGATGCTAAGTTTGTCTGCTGACAACCAAAGCTAAGCAGTTAGCAAGACAATTGAAGGAAGAAACTGATACACACACAGATGACCAAAATCGCACTCTATCACACAAACCTCCCTCCCTCTCCCCTAATGATGTCCAAAATTCTTCTATTTCATTCTACTCTTACCATCCAATACACAGCCATCACACCACTCCTTAACACCACACCATTTTTCCCTCTGCCATAGCCTTGGGGTGCTGCTGCTGGTTCTCAACTCCACCATAAAAGAAGTTCGACGACATTGAAAGTAGGGCTGACATTATGTCGTCTGGTAGAAATACCCTAAGCATTTCAGCTAATCTTCTTCTATATTTGGCTAATCTACTTTATATTTAGCATGACCAATCTTCCTAGAGTCTAGCTATGATAAACCAACTTCGCAAATCACTTTCCTTACATGCACCAAAACTTTATCAACTTTCGGTAAATTCCCTGAAGAGGCATTGTTGGTTTGCATTCACTCTGTACTTAGGAGCATGATCTCATCATAAATAGGCCTTACATGATCAGCATAGGCAGCTCCATCTTCACTAACTCGTGAATACAGCATATTGCAGCTTCTCTACACGAGCAACCTAAAAAGGAGTCCTCTTAGCGGTGATACTGCCTTTCGAAGTTCAAGAACAAAGTCTATGCTAAGATGAAGCCAAGGTGTAGGACTGGAGTGTACAACCTGTATTTTGTAAGGACATGCTATTACACACAGCATCTCTTCACCAAGCTTCCCAATTCTCAGTTCTTTGGCCAATAATATTGATCCATCACTAGCCAAAGTCTTAACTTCTGACTAACTCCCTAATAATTTGTTCTTACAAAGAACTCTCTAGCATGCAAAGTTGGTTACTATTGAATAAGAAACCATCAAGCAAAATTCAAGCAAAAATTCAGAAAGAAAAAAAAGATTAATTAATGTAATTGTGGGGACTTCTCACAGTACCTTAACAGCATATTCAATTAGGTTTTTATGCCTTCTGGTGCAGTCTAGCTACAAAGGATGCCCCATCAAACAAATAGATGAAAATGTTCTAGTAGTCTCTGGAAAGTACCCCCAAAAGATTTAGTGCAGCAACAATCAGATTCACTTTTGCTCGATCAATAATCCACTAAGTATATGGTTCTGATTTCAGCGTTCCTCCATAGTCATATTCCCAATAATAGCAAAAGTTCATATTTCTGATTTGTTACAACACAATTGAAGGTTTCATATAGATAAGATCAATTTCATTCCTTTGGGATAATTCTAAAATACATTAACTCGTTTTGAAGGAAAAAGAAAAAAAATTCTAAATAACATAACCTGCTCATGGAATAAAAAAGAGGGGAGAGGCCCAAGGTATAAATTCATCATGGTTATTCAAAATTTACTCTGCTTAAGAAAACTCAGTTCCAAAAAAAATGGCTCAGTTCCTGAATGGCTTTCTTGAGGATAACGTTGCAAAGCACAAGTTTCGACTGAAACAATGAAAGAACCACCTCATCAGATATTACAGTGCTTTTGCTGTGTCTGCAAACCTTATGTTGCATTTTGTTTTTGTCCTGTTTATGTTCTATAGAAAGAAAGTGAAAATAATTGACAACAAGCAAACGTTTCTTTTCAACCAAAGTCCCAAAGGTAATGATCATAACAGAAACAGAAAGCTTATCTTCAGATGGTGTATAAGTTGATATAAAGTAAATGCATATCTGAATCTGACTAACCTGAATGGGGGGTTATAGACTGAAGGGCCAAGACCAACAGATGGTTGAAAACAATAGGCATTATGGATTTTAAACCCAGACCCAATACCATCTTTCTCATAAACACTGCAATCAAACTGCAGCATTGAGCTCAAACCAGGCTTCTTCAAACATACCTTCATCAAAACATCCCTTGTGTAAAGGCATTCCACTCCCTCCAAGCCATCAGGACTAAAAGGACCCAACAAAGCTGAAACAGCAACCTCCTCACCACTCTCATACTTTCTCCTCAAAACCAAATCTTGGGACTGTGGCAAATCGCAATCCACCACAAACTCACCCATTGAAGAGCTTCGGCTTACCTGTATCATCAATAACTTAACCAATATTCGTCTACCCACAAGCTAATTTCTCAAAAAACAACAGAAACAAAAACAAGAGAGAGAGAGGAGAGAGAGAGAGAGAGAGAGAGAGAACCTCAGGGGGGTTAAAGGAAAGCTCATGCTGAATCTCAGACTGCAAAACCTTGAGCAAGTTGAGATCTTTGAGAGCTTTGCCACCCTGGCGTAATGCAGCGTTCGCCTTCGACATTCTATATGGCAGTGGCATGTCACAGTCTCAGCTCAGAAACAAGAATGGCAGTGCCTTCGACAATGGACTTGTGGGAATTCTTAAACCTTGCTTGGTCTTTTTGGGCTTTTGCTCTCCTGGACCAGAGACGAGGCGAGTGCCAAGCCCTAAATCGTATATGAATATTAAATTTATTTGGATAATAATATCTCTAAGTTTTATATCATAACTAACCAATAAGGTTTTCCTTAATTTTTTTTTATTTCTTTTTATTTTTGTTGTGTGCATATAAATTTTTGGTTGGAATAGATTTTAATTTTTAAATCAGGTATATATAATTTATTTTGAGCGGGAATAATCTTTGGTAAACTATTAGAAAAATGTGATTGTCGTCATTTTTGTTTAATGGACATTTTTGTCATAATTATTTTTGGTGAATTCTGTGAGATCACAAGTTAGGGCATAAATGTATGATAGTAGTGATAAAAATGAGAGGAATTAAACGACACATTATTATAGCTAATTGGCCTTATTTTCATCCGCACGAGAGTGAATTTTTTATTTGTTCCTATTATTTTCTTTAATAGTGTGTCAATTGACATGTTTTGTCTTTATTTTGTTCTTTTTAATTTTTAATTTTATTTTTTACAAGCGATATTAGGGGCCAGGGCAGGGGTTTTGAATGTTTCACCCTTCTATTGAGGACGCCCTTTAGGGTACTCTATAATTTTTTTTTTCAATGATCCAAACCATCTATTTTTAAGGTCTTCATTCATAGATTATCTTTATAAAAGATTAGACAAATCGAAAACCATTTAGACATCTAATTGTGTCATACAAAATCAATGAACATGGTGCTTCAAGAAAGTACTAACATTTTAATAATTTAATTGAGTTATCAAATGATATCGGATTCAAGTGATTTTTTTTGCAGAGATGGTCTTCAGATGAATATCTATAAAATAGACATTTGGATTAGTGAATACAATGCAAAGTAGGCCATACAAAAATTTCCCTCAAATAACCTTTATTTGAGAGATCCCACCATGAAAGCTCCCTGTATATTTAGGGTACACTATAATTTTTTATTTTTTATTCCAATGAACCAAACCATTTATTTTTAAGGTCTTCATTAATAGATTATCTTTACAAAAAATTAGACAAATCGAAAACCGTTTAAACATCTAATTGTGCCCTACAAAATCAATGAACACGGTGCTTCAAGAAAGTACTAAAATTTCAATAATTTAATTGAATTATCAAATGATATTGGATTTCAGTGATTTTTTGCAGAGATGATCTTCAGATGAATATCTATAAAATAAATGTTTGGATTAGTGAAATACAATGTAGAATAGGTCATACATAAATGTCCCTCAAATAACCTTTATTTGAGAGATCCCACCATGAAAACTCCCTACATCTATATATATAAAGCAAAAGGCAAGAGAATGGTAAAACGTTCAAAATACCAGAAAATACCCTTGGTTAATTCAAATATTAAGAATTAAAATTATTAATTAAATGATGATAATATGGTAAATTCACGCTTTTTTATTTTATAAAAAATTAAAATTAAAAGAAAAATCAGATAATGAACCCTATTTTTATGGAACATAACTACCCATTATCTTTTTGAATTCTAAAATAAATTTTAATTTTTTTTAAAAAAAGTCTCTCACAAGCACGGAAGCGCGTGCAAAGAGGCTAGTCTTTTCTTAATTCTAAAAAAAAATAAAAAATAAAAAATAAAACCAATTGGCACATGTGTGAGCATGTGCAAGGGGCTAGTATATATAATAAATGTCCTCATTTTTATATACATTTTTTAATATAAATAATTCGTTAATTTACTATATTATTCTTATTAATGAATGATTTTATTTTTAATATTTCATTAATTTTTGTTGTTTTGAATAATGAAAGTTTCACCTTTTAACGCCTTCAAATTTTTAGGCAGGGACAAGAAATTGCGAGAGAAGCGTAGTTCTGCAGCGGTCTGCTGTTTAGCAATATAACAATACAATGGCCGTTTAAATTGTGTTAGGGCTTTGCAAAAGCTCTTAAACCCTTTCCCTCTCTTGGACAGCCATGGCCACCGACCAAAACATGAGTAGCTGGACCGATCTGCTCCACTCCTCCACCAAGCTTCTCGAACAAGCCGCTCCTTCCGCGCAGTTCCCTCCTCTACAGGTTCAGCTCATCTCTCCTTACTTTCTTTCCGTTTGGTTCTCGAGAAAACGAAGGAAATTTGACATCTTCCCGAGAAGCTTCTAGTGTTAGGGTTTCACTGACATTCGAGAAAGAATTTTTTCAACTTAGGCATAGTCTAATTCACCATTTAGGTTTTTGTTATCTTTCTGTAATGGCTGTGTTTGCTTTAGTTTTCCAAGAAAATTCGGGAAAAGAAAATAAAAGTTTCGTTTCTAGTGTTTGATTTTCGTCATTTTGAATTCTTTAGAAATTAAAAGGCAAGCTCACATTAGCTGCACTCTTGCTAGGTCCATCAAATAACAATGTGTGTGGTTGCTAAAAGAATGAAGGATAAAGGAAGAGTTAGACATCTGAATGTTGGATGATTCATTACCCAGATTTTGGGACACATTATTCTGCACCCTGAGGGTCCACCGCTGAAGCAATTAGATGCCATTTGATTAAGAAGTATACAAAATCAAGTCCTAATATTAGTCTTTAGGTTCATATAATATTGTTGCTGTTCCACTGACTGTAATGCACATATTTTGGTGTGTTTCTTCGCCTTCCATTCCACTGATGCTCTGCTGGGTTGCTGAAAAGATGTTTAGATAAGATTTTGAATCAAAACCCCAGACTTGTGCCTTTTCCTTTTGTAATTGGAATTTTTTGACTGGTGGTGTCTAGTTGAGACAAAAAGGAGATCAACTGCGGAAATTTAGTTTTTCCGGTTATATATTATGAGACCAAAAAGAGATCAACTTTTCTATGGATCCAGGTATCTAGTTTTCAGGACTCTGAATTCATATTTCTATCTGTTTCAGAGAAATTTGGATCAGTTAGAAACATTATCGAAGAAACTCAAGGCGAAAACTTTACGAACTGAGACTCCTCAACAATCCATTGCTGCCACGAGGTATTTGAATGATTACTGTCTCAAAAGATATTTTATTGCTCAAATTCACTTTACTTCATGTTAATAAAATTCTTTTCCTAAAACAAGTCACTTTAATTCAGTCTACTCGCTCTTAAAACATAAAAAAGTGAATTGAAACATGGATTTGCAGATAAGTTTGAGGGTATGTATCAAGTTCTGTTCTGCGTTCTGTGTCGTGTGCTTAACCTTTTAGATGGTACGTTCTGTTCAACTATATCCTGTTGATATTTTACAGGCTTCTTGCACGTGAGGGACTAAATGCGGAGCAGCTTGCACGTGACCTTAAGTCCTTTGAATTGAAGGTAATTATACTTATACATTACTGTGTATAAATCTGCCTCCTTGGCGTTGTTAACCATGCCAAAACATTTGATGAGTCAATTTGGATACTTCATATTTGCCTTTGCTTCAATAAATTTCCTTTCTTCTAAAAAAAAAATAAAAAAATAAAAAAATTGGATACTTCATATTAAAATTTTGTGTGTTTCACGAACAATGTAAAAGTAAAATTAATATTTAAAGGAATCTCCTTATATAAAGACAAGCGAAATGCGATTATTCTTTAATTCCAAAATTTTATTTGTAAGTCATGGTTCTCTTTATTCTCAGTTCAGCTCAATCAAGGAACTATTTGTTCAAATTTAACTGTACTTGCTTTGAGTTATTTTCTTAGGTCAATGGCTGCGTTATGTCTCCTGCTACCTATTCACTTCTCTTGCTGCGCTTAGACATATAGAGAACAATTGTGTCATAATCTTCTAGGTTCAGAAATGCTTTTACTCATTCTTGACCTTCTTATACTAATTAGTTTGGTGATTTTCCCTTTTCTTTCATCATTCAAAGACAACCTTTGAAGATGTTTTTCCGTCTGAAGCTACAACTGTCGAAGAGTATCTGCAGCAGGTAGATTTAACTCTATTCACTAATGATCTGATTAGTTTAGTATATGTTCTTTTCATTACTTTAACACTCGGTACTCTTGCTAAAACATGATTTTATTTGATTGTTGGCCTTAAATTGTGTGGAATAACATGATGGAACTAATGAATTAGCCATTAGAAACTATGTATTTATTTTGAAAGAAGTTTTGTTGTTGAAACTTTGGCTATTAATATAGGTATTACAAGATGCAACTCCAACATATCTTATAATGCTTGTTGCCAGTTGATTGTTCTTTTTCTTCCTTGCATGTTGACATCAGTATGACATATTGGTTAATTGTTCAATGATATTCCCCTGATACCAGCATTTTTATCCTTGCTTGTAATGATTCAGCGGCATCTCGGTTAATTACTTCTGCTTCATGTGTAATTACGTATCTTTCACTGTTCACAGCCAATGGAAAGTATTAAGAGAACAATCATAAGTAGTCGTGCTTGCGTTGTTTTTAGTTTTTCTTCTGTGGGTGATGCAAAATTATGCAAGGTTTTACTTCCATGTGGATTTATGCTCTGAACATTATCTAATTATATTTCTCCCTCCAAAGTCAAAACTAAATCTACATTTGTCTTTATTTACTCTCCAATAAAAGATGCATCTATTTGGTTTTGTTTTGTTTTTTTTTCCGAATATTTGTCTTAAAGGCGTCTAACGGTCCCTGATAGAGTAGTGTTTCATGATTTTTTATTTATGATTTTTCTCCTTATGGCTCACATATGAATTTATCCATTTACTGCGATGTCAGAGTGCAGCTTATAAAATGTGATCAAATCATTTAATACGGCCTTACATATTGGCCTTATTTTGCTTACCTTAAAATGCTTTTAGAGACATGCTTTTAATTTCTCTTCAAATGAACGAGCAATATTAGCTAATATGGTTGCACATTTTTTTTTCTTATGCATAGCTTAAAATGCTTTTATTCACTTTTCAGAGGCAATGCTTATTCTCCTTTCTGAGAGATTGATAGTGGTACCTTGATCATAATGTGTATAATTTTTTTTTCTCATTAGGTCCATCAAATGACAATGGTCTCAGCTCTTCAAGAAGCTCAGAAGGATAACCTCAGAAGTTTTAATGATTACATGTTAAAAGTTTTGGAGGTTAGTGTACCCCAATGGATATGAGTATCACTGGATTTTCCCTTGTTTAAGTTTTGACTATTCTTTTTATGTTTGGCCATTCACACCCAATGGAATTGTTAAGATTCCGTTCTTTTGTTGTTTTTTTTGTTATTGTTGGATGAAATAATGAATGATTTCAAGCTGCAGTATCAAGGATTAATTCTGTGACAGGAAAAATAAAATGCTACTTAGAGAAAGAAAAAAGAATTGACATGAAAGTGTTTTAAATCAGTGAGATGCTTATTTTTGCTCATTGGTCAATGTTGGTTATCAGCGGAATTTGATATTTTGCAGGAGGATTGGCAGAAAGAAAAACGTGATTTCCTTCAAAGCCTAAGTCAGATTTCAACATTACCCAGGACTAACATGACTTATACTACCAGCGCTGGTAGTCGTTCTGGTCAAATAGCGTCCATAACTTCTAGCCCTCAAGTTTCATCTACTCCATCTAGTATGGAGCTTGAACCTTTAGCTAGCAAGCCCATCCTTGAGAAGAAAACATCTGTCTATGCTGAAGTTGTTAAAAATCTGAATAATGCAAGACAGCGTGGATTACCGTTTAAAGTAAGTTTTCTTTTTTAATGTATAATTCTTTTAGGCTTCAAATTCTTACTCTATCTGTCTATCATATTGTGAGATATCTGAGATTACGAGATTGAGTGTATTTGAATTACAAAATTACAATGAACCTCAATATGCTGTCAACGTGGCAGTTAATATGAGTCCAACTTGAGTGCTTCATGATACTGTCCTTTCAGTTTGGTGGCCTTGGCCTTTTACAATATATATTTTTTTTTTGGCAATAACCATCCTGTCTAATTGTGGATGTTACTAGATAGTGAGCTCTGCTATATTTATCAAAGGATTGCTATTAATTTTTATTTATTTTTTATTTTTATATCTTTTACTTTCACTAGCCTGCTTCAGCTTTCAAGGGTGCTTATGAGAGTTTAGGCCTTGATGCATCTGGTGGAAAATCAGTTAACATGCAGAAGATATGGCACCTTCTTCAGGTACACTTCTAGACATGTGCTTCGTTAATGTGGTATATGTTAGTGTGCACACCTTTTTGGAGTTTGCCCCTATTATATGCATTAAATTATCAATGGTTGACGATCTTCTCATTATGTTGACAGACATTAATGGGCGAAGATATAACCATACAACGGGGTGCTTCAAAACGGATGTCATTAGTTATTGGGGCAAGGCGCCACCTGGAATGGGGGCATGAAAAGTACATCATGGATACAATCCAAAGTCATCCTGCGCAGGTACTAAATTTGTTTTGTATGTTGGTTGCTAAACAGATTTGTTAAATATGTTTTGTTCACAATGGTTACGTGCTATGCATTTGGTCTATCAACCCATTTGGTTAATTTTCTTGGACTTCTAATGGTTTGCCATTACAATTTTACTTCTGCAAGAAGGTTTTTCTTTATATTGTGTGTAATTTATTTCACTTTTCATCACAACAATCACAATTCATGGTCACCTCTTGATCTCATTGCAGGCAGCCCTCGGAGGAGTTGTTGGAAATTTACAAAGAATTCGTGCCTTTCTTCGGGTTTGTAATCATTTTTTTTCTTTAAACTGTGAGATCTTGCATGTTGTTACATGTTATAATACTATCCTTCAGGATCTTTTATCATGCAATTTTGTATTCTTTTGTTTCTCTGCAGATTCGTTTAAGAGATTATGGAGTTCTAGATTTTGATGCAGGTGATGCTCGTAGGCAGCCTCCTGTTGATACCACTTGGCAGCAGGTCTTCTGTTTTTCACTTTTGCATTTCTGAAGTTACAATTTCACTCCTTGTTTACCTTTTTCTTTTTACCACATATCCTAATATATGAAGTTGAATTTTAATATAATTAATATATTCAGCTTACAAGTTTTAATGCTCGCACATTTTCACAAATTTCAATCGTTCCTTAGATCAAATTTTAAGTATGTCATATGTGTCAGAGAAAGGGGATGACTTTATTGTGTGAAAAACTATTTGAAGATTAAGGAAATGTCAAAAGCAAAATGCTTGTAATACATAATTTTTGCATGCTTGTCACTAAGTTCTATTTGTATGTGGCAGATCTACTTTTGCTTGAGAACTGGGTATTATGATGAAGCAAGAGCTGTTGCTCTGTCATCTCGCGCGTCAAACCAGTTTGCTCCTCTGGTAAAGACTTTTTTATATTCATTTAAATTTATAGCATATGCCGGCTTATTCATTACTTCATTTTTGGACAGCTTACTGAGTGGATTAATACTGGAGGTATGGTGCCTGTGGAGATTGCAGCTGCTGCATCAGAAGAATGTGAAAAAATGTTAAGAACGGGTGATCGTGTGGGCCGAGCTGCATATGACAAGAAAAAGTTGTTACTATATGCTCTCATATCTGGTTCTCGTAGGCAAATCGACCGCCTACTAAGAGATCTACCAACTCTTTTTAACACCATAGAGGATTTCTTGTGGTTCAAATTGTCAGCTGTAAGAGACTGCCCTGGTGGAGCTGCACCCATTGTCATGAATGAGAGCTTGGTACCATACACTTTGGATGATTTGCAGATTTACTTGAACAAATTTGACCCCTCATACTATACAAAAAATGGGAAGGACCCTCTGGTGTACCCATATGTTTTGCTTTTAAGCATCCAGTTGATACCAGGTGTGGTATACTTGTCCAAGGAAACTGGAGATGAAGGATATAACATTGATGCTGCCCACATATCAATTGTGCTAGCAGACCATGGGGTCCTTTCTGAAGGAGCTGGGGCTGGACAGAAAATGGGCGTGATGGATGCTTACGCAGAGGCATCTAGCATAATCAGGCAGTATGGGTCTGTGTATTTACGTCTTGGTAATCTTCAGATGGCATTAGAATATTATGCACAAGCTGCTGCTGCAGTCGGTGGTGGGCAGTTGTCATGGTCTGGAAGAGGTAATGTGGATCAGCAAAGGCAGAGAAATTTGATGCTGAAGCAGCTCCTTACAGAACTGTTGTTACGGGATGGGGGCATCTATCTTTTACTTGGTTCAAGAGGTGCTGGAGAAGAAGGTGAATTGGGGCGATTTTTGACTGATGTAAAAGAGAGACAACAATTTCTGCTTGAAGCTGCTCACCAATGTCAGGAAGCTGGATTGTATGAAAAGGTAATATATCTTCCCTGCTTTCCATGCTTCTTGCTATGGAGAAGTTGCAAGTAGTACTTATCCTCTTTCCTCTGTTTGGGCTAATTTTTTTATTTTATTTTTATTAATGTAAGTTTTCCTTCTGATTCCCATCTTAGTTGCTGTTTGGCGGTTCAAAGGGAAATATAATATTTTTATTCTTTTTTTTTTTTTTTTTTTTTTTTTTTTTTTTTTTTTTTTTTGTTGATTGTTGGTTTTTCTAGTACTACTTGGGTGGTGGGTCTTGTTTGAGCCAAAATTGGACTCCAATGTGAACCATTTTTCTTTTATTTTGGGTATAATGAAGTATTAACTATGTAGTGAAAGCCCTATAAATTACCTCATGCAGCTGATTCCGATTAGTTTTAGGATATAGGGTTTGATTTGAGTTGAGTATTCTAACCCTCAATAGTTTGCAATTTTCTTCTGGTTCTGATTTTGATGTTTCTTGGATTGTTCCACCCATCTTCTTGCTCTCAACTTTTTGGGGAAGTGCTTATATCCCAAAAAAAAAAAAAAAAAAAAAAAAAAATGTTTTTAATCTTGATTCTGCCCTCTTCAGATGTTGTTCTTCCTTATTTAATATGTTGTTTCTTTCTTTAAAAAAAAATATGCACATATATATATTTGATGCTATAACCACTTATTTTTGCTCTTTTCTGTAATCTTGTGTTCTCCCCCCACTCTTCTTTGTCCATTCAGTCTATAGAAATTCAGAAACGAATAGGGGCATTCTCGATGGCATTGGATACGATTAACAAGTGCCTTTCTGAAGCTATTTGTGCCGTCTCACGTGGTAGATTGGATGGTGAGAGTCGAACTGCTGGTCTCATTCACTCTGGAAATGAGATCTTGGAGATGCACAAATATTATCCTGAAATCAGGTCATTTTGACACTCAACAGCTTACGTGTACTTTTTTTCCTCTAAATTTGAGTTAGTTTGAATGATGTTTCTGTTTACAGTGGTGCCTAATTTTGAGGGATGCTCTCACAGTTGGTATTGAATTCTATGCTGTTTAGATTGTGTCTCCCAAAGATATGATTAGGATGTGTAAATCAGATTTCAAGAACTACAAACATGTGCATGAAATAAAACATATTTTCCTCTGGCATTCATATGGTTTGGCAATTGATTCACCATAAATGTGACTTGTGCCAATTAGTTGTTCACCATAAACATGTCGTATTTTTCTGGATGCTGAAGTGTATACAAGAGTCGTGTTTATTTTTGTAAAGAATATACATTGGGTAACTGTATTTTCGGGATGGTTTTTTCATTCTTTCTTTCAATTCTTACTAACTCTTTTTTTCTCATTATTAATGAAATTTTCACTTTTTATGCAATTTCTCTGACGTAACAGTCATTTGCTGTGCAGTCCTCAAGAGAGGGAAAGTGTTTCAGAGCAGCATATTGTGTTAAGACAACTTGAGGCCGTACTGTCAATCCATAAATTGGCAAGAGGAGGCCATTATGCTGATGCTTTGAGGGAGGTTGCCAGACTTCCATTTCTTCCATTAGATCCTCGGACACCAGATGCTACCACTGATGCGTTCCAGAATTTATCTCCTCATGTCCAAGCCTGTGTTCCGGACCTCCTGAAGGTTGCACTCACTTGTCTGGACAACATGGTGGATTCTGATGGATCGCTTCGCGCCTTGAGGGCTAAGGTATGCTTTGACCAATAGTTTCATGTTTTACTGTTGGGTGAACATTAACTTTGGATACTAGAAAAAGTTAGATGGATTGGAAGTTGATTTACTGTTTTCTGCTTCATGATTGACCGCGTCCTTTGGGTTTTGCAGATTGCTAGCTTCATTGCAAATAATTCCAGCAGGAATTGGCCTCGCGATTTGTATGAGAAAGTTGCCCGGAGCTTTTAAAGTGGGCAAACTACGGTAGGTCAAGATGCCTGTATGGTTTGGTTGATATTACCATGCATGTAACCAACTGTAAAATACAATTTAAAGTAGCAGTAGTACTTTGATGCACAGTTGTTAATTGGATATTAGCAATTTCCTGGTTTTGAATTCAACTAGGCAAGCTGAAGTGAGTTGTGGTCGGATTTCTCCGGCGACATATGAGCATCAAAATCACCCGCATTACATATTTACCGCAATGTTTGTGTGTGATTTTAAATCTTTTATAATGAGAAAGGTGAGTTATTCTGAACTCCGATGTTTGAGTGTAATGGAGATTAATTTGGTCATTCTCATCCCATTTATCACATTATTCTTTAAAATTGATATCGTCTCATCACATGACCAACTTTAAAAGAGTATTTTCGTCAAAATATAGTTCATCCGCTTAGGAGACGATAAAACTAATGTCGTTTGATAAACAAGAGCAAGGCTCTCCTATTACGATTTCACATGGAATTCCACTTAGTAAAACGAATTTTCAAAATAATGGCAGAAAGAATGCTTAAACTTAAACACAACATGAAATTAGTAATTAATCCCAAATCCTAGAGAAGGGTACTTTCATTTAATAAATATTGATAGACAAACAAAAGCAACAAAGACTACTACTCTTTTATTGATATAGTAGTGAGTGAGTAGTTATTTCATAGCTATTTTATTTGCGCAAATCCTTGAAATAGGCAGCTGGGTTGCTCTCAAAGCTCTCCCTGGAGATTGTATCATCTCTTCCAGGAGCTTTCATAGACCCTGCTGCATGGGCTCCACCACCACTTGCTGCTGCTGCTGCTGCTGCCGCCACATCGGATGACTTGGCCCCACTAGCATATGGGTTTGCCGCCTGGCTATTACTATTACCATTAGATCCTTTGCTGCCTCCCATTTTTGCAATATTCCAAAGTGCTTTTCTGGTTCTGTGGCTTAGTTGGAATTGGAGGGCTGCATTGCATGGCCATATATATACACAGATTGATTGATTGTAGTGCATCAATTTGATTCTAAGAATTAAAACGGTCAAAAGTGGAAATTAATAGAAGCAGCATTGGAACTGCTAAGAATACTTGAACTTGCGTTTTCCAATTACCGGGATAGGATTGGGATTTGAATATTTGAACCTTCCGATGAACGAAGATTATAAATTGGAATTTGGTGTTTTCAATCCAATCCAATCCAAATAGCACGTGCTTTTTGAATGTCTAATTAAGAAAAGGGTGGTATTGAAGTCGATGCATTTTCCCAACAACAATTGTGCAATAAAGAAAGCTTGAACGTCATCTTACTATGCTAATTCAATCTTCAATACTCCATTAGGAAATGTTTTGCTCAAGTATTTGATGCCTCATCAAGGTGTTTTGATCCCAATTTTTTTTTTTAAAAATAGCATGGGACATTTAGGCCCGGAAAAATAAAGCCCAAAATAGTGGCTCAAATAATATGGGCCTCTGCTTATGATATTTTTCTAAGTACAAATATTAGTTTAAACTACACGAAGTGATAATGAGGTTTCTCACACGCATACTATCACGATGCCATAAGAGTTCGAAGTATGCAAATTAATGCTATTTTCTATTTGATTAGACTCCATTGGCATGTATTGACCTTTTTAATTTTCAACCTCTACCTATGAATTTTTTTATTTCGAGAATTATTAAAATTTCTCCATTATCTGTCATGGTGTTTTTTATAATTTCCTCATAAAAAAGATCCTTTTACCAATTTTACTAAAATTTTGATGGGATGCCCACGTAAATGATGAAATTTATGTGTAAACCTACATCAATTGATTTTAAAGTCTGAGAGCATAACTTTCAATAAATAAACCATGCTTTGAAAATAAACGGTCCATCGGACGCCGTCTAACCAGTGAGTAAAGGCAAAACTCAGCCCTCTGCTGAGTACTGAGAGCAGACGAGTGACCGCTGCTGTGTGTCACCGTCACCCCTTGCATGCCGGTAGGCGTCGAAGAATCACCGGCCGACGGCAGCAAGTCAACAACACCAGTCGCTGCCAGGTACCACCTACTATCATTCTTCTGCGATTCTTTTTTTCTTTTTTTAAATATTAATCTTCTCATGCTAGATTGAATGGAAGTGGTTGGTTGAATGCATTTGTTATTTTATATAGATTGATTCATTGAAACGAATTCTGAATTTATTATATGATGTAACCTTATTTTAAGTGGCTGCTGGCAGATTGAATGGCTGTGGTTTTTGATTGAAATTTCTAGGTATTATGGAGGTCGTGGATTGGGGGAATTCTTTAGGGGAGAGTGTTTCTGAGGCCCATGCACAACATGCCAACAGCACTGATGAAGAAAATCACTATGCTTCTGGGTCTGCATCCAAGTTTCAGCCCAGGTAAATGACTATTTTTATGAAGAAAAAAAATACAGTACAATTTCTATATTGCTCTCATGTTGATCATTCTTTTCAGGAAAATCACATCCAAGGCTCACTGGAATGACCAGATGGGCATGGCTGAGGTGGTAGTTGAAAAGGGTAGATATCGGATATCCACGGGAATTGTGCGCCATAGCAAGCTCTATTACTCTATTGAGGAAGTTTTGTAAGTGAAATATAATATACTCTATTTATTCTGATTCTTGTGCTCTATGTTTGAGGGTTTCTCTTGCGAAATTACTGAAATATTAAGTTTATGTAAAAACCAATAGACTTGACTCGAAATAAGTCAACTATATCAATCTTGGTTTGTTTCGTTTCATTTGTCTTATTTTTCCTCAATGAGCCTTAAATTTGAATATTTTGTATGTATCTGAACTCTTTACCTTTCAAGCATTGGTGGCCTTACATTATCTTCTGAAATTTTTCCATTTCAATAATTTTAAAGCAAGACGAAAAAGAAAGTGCATGAAGAGGAACAAGTTTGGGTAGAGGGCCAGAAACGTTGTCTATTATGAAGTGAACTGAAATTTTATTGTCAGCTACAATTGACCTGCACTTCAACCAAAACTTGGGACTGTTAAAAAAATCTAGCAGGGGCTTGATGTAAATTCAGAGTCTGGTAGTACTCATTAGGATGAAAATTTCCTATTTCTTGTTCCGTTGAGATGGAAGTGCTTGCAAATTGTAACAATCTTTTTAAAGGTTTTTGGTTGAAATAGGCGACTTGCTTCTCTTGGATGATAGTGGTACACTTTCCTTGGAAGATATATATATGAAGATTTCAGATAGAAAGAATGGGTGTTGTTGGGAGGAATTTCAAGCTTATAGGCAACTCAAGTCTCTTGGTTACATTGTTGGGCGGCATGGTATCCCCTGGTCTATGAAGAGTTTGAAGAGTAATTATGAAACTGTTTCTTCTCAAGGTTGTCCAGAAAGTGATGAGGTGGTGGACTTGGGATCAGAAGAGACTAGGTCTGTCATTGGATTGTTGAATGGGATGCAAATAAATGAAGCAAGGCTGATTTTTGATGTTTATCTCCCAAATAGCAAGTTCAGGAAGTCTTCTCCTGGTGATCCAAGTTTTGTGCTCTGCTTTACTAGGTATGCATATTTTGGCAATCCTGAGAATTTAGCAAAATTAATTCTGTTTGTGATTAGCCATGATTTTTTTTTTTGAAGTATCAATTGTTATTATCATAAGATATATGTATTCCTTGAATAGTCCAAAGACTACATATTTTGTGAGTAATTAACAGTTAGTTCCTTAGTAACTAGAAAACCATGTTAAGTTGCATATTGGCGAGGTTGTATGTGACGAAGTTTGTGCAGGAGTTACTTTGTTGAGAAGCATTTTGTTAACAAATTTATTTATGCAACAGAACAAGAAGGCCTATCTCGTATTTTCTTCTCGTGTACTCTTATTTTGCAATTATTATTTGGAAATCTTCTTAAATTTGATGCTGACCCTTAGCAATTGTCATCTTAAAAAATTTAATGCATCCCTGTTTATCATCTTTTGAAAGTTTAGACTCTTCATCAATAGTAATAGGTGGTGGAAGGTGGATGCTGAACGTTAGATGGACAAATTAGTTGGAGGTTGGCATTCATAAAAAGAATGTTCTTTCAAAATTCTGTGTGTTAGTAACCGATTCGAGTATGCCAATCTTGTGTCATAGTATTTAATTGTACACTTGCCTTCTCTGTTCTAGGGGTCCTCCACCATCCAAAGCAGACCTTGAAGCCCTCGAGAGACAATGTCAGAACATTCCTTTGAAGGTTTGCCATGAAGAGCAGGGGTGGGTGAGTTTCTTTTCCTTTGACAAGGTGGAACTTCCTGTCCTACCTTGACATCTGAAGTTGATGTTGGTTTGTACTAAAGAGGGGGATAAAACCTAATTGTCTTGAATCTGCGTTGAACCTCTTATCTGACTTTATATTTTGGACTGAAAAAATCTGAAAAGATGGTGAATTGAAACTTTATATATATAATTTTTTTTTCTTTCTGATTTCGCATGGAGTTTATTTCCTTGTTTAATGAAATAAAATTGCTTGGATTTCTACAAATAGGGGATGTTTAGCAACTAGGATTGGATTGGATTATGAGGTAGAATTAGGTTGCATTGGATTAGAGAGGATAATATTAATCCACGGATGTGTTTAGTACTACACATGATTAAGGAGCTGCATTAACTAAACTATGCTATTACATGGGTTAGCAAGATTAGACATAATCCGATCCAACTTAATCCCAACCATTTCATTTGCTATAGTAGGATTAGACAGAATTCAATCCATATTGTTAGGCTACTAAAAATTTGGCTACAATTCATGACTCCAATTGAGCCATATAATCCAACTCACCAAACAAGCTAATGAAGGCTATAAGGTTTTGATTATGAGCAATCGTATGATTGATATATCCCTGGAAAAGAAAAAACAAATGAAATTGGTCCATAAGCCTTAGCTCAGTAGTGTGCAGCCCCAATGTTTATGGTCCTTGCAAAATATTCCTCCTATAATATTTTGACCAAACTCAATCAAATCTTTAATGAACTTGATAATGCAGCACCATGGCTAATGGTATAATATTTTACATTAAAGTATTATTAATTAAAGATTTGATTGTATTAGCCTACACGTCAGAAAAATAATATCTTTAATATTATTAATTATTCTTTTTTTAGTTTTCCTTTTAGATGTTTTACACATAATTATGTAAGTCTAGCCTAATACTTCAAACAAGACAACAATTATTTGCTAAGAAAGATAGGTCAAAGATTTTGCTTTTGTTTTGTTCTTGTTTTTTCCCCCAAGCTATGCTCTACAACATTTGCTAAAAATTTCAAAACTTCCTAACAGGAACTTTGATTCCCTCAAAGAGATTGCTCTCCATGCTCAACTTATCATCATCAGGCTGCTGGTTAAATAAAATTTATTAGTTCACAAGCTTAAACCAATAAAAGACAAAGTAAGTTGCAGCTATAATTCCTTGATTATTTCCCAATTCTGTTTTTGAATTTTTAGGTCCCTTTTTTTTATCGGAGAAAGAATTCATTCCAAACCCACAAAAAAACAATCACTAAAATATCGATGACATTATCGGTTTTTCGGGTCTAGGATATTTTGGAACATATCAATATACATATTGTATAAGTATCATACTATCGGAAAATATCGACGTTGATAATTTCGGACACTTCAGTAACATTTGGTCAATATATCGCTATAATATCGATAATATCGAGATGATGAAGACAATGAAAAATTTGAATAGTTATTTACACTAACACCCCCTAAGGTTTCTTGTGCGTTCACAAAACCCCCTTATGTCTCAAAAATTACATGAACACTCCCCTGATGTTTCAGTTTGTTTTCACTAAACCCTTTTTCATTAATTGTTTGTCGAAAAATTGATGATTTCATTGAAAAAAAAACTTATGCAAATGACAAAATTAACCTCAATGAAGTATATGCAATCTAATCTCAAAGGCCAACTTTGTCATTTGGAGAATTTATTTTTTATAAAATCATCAATCTTTGGATTAAAAATCAACGAAAAGGAGTTTTGTGAAAAAAATTTAAAACCCAGGTGGTCTTCTTGTAATTTCTAAAACCTCAAGGAGTTTTGTGAAAAAGTCGAAAACCTCAGGAGGTGTTAGTGTAAATAACTCAAATTTGAACCTTATAGGAACTCTATGTGGTACTAAGCCACTCATATATCTTATCATGCAATGTATAAAGTGTAAAATATTGTAGAAAATCATTATAAATAAATAATTATAGTGTGTTTAATATTCTTTCATTAATTACTACATATTTTCTACACTCGCAGTGTTTGTTAGCTTGCTAATAATCAAGTTAAATCAGTTAAACCCATCATGCATTGCATTTCCTTCCAATTTTTTGTGATAAAGTAATAGATAATAAACTAAATAAATATCCTCAAAAGTTTCAAGAAAAATTTCCAAGTTTTTCTTATAATTTTCGTGATTTTTATTGATATCGAAAAAAAGGTGTCCTTGCTTTGTTCTTGTATGAGGCAAAAGGATTCCTTTGTCTCCATACAACATCGCCACCACTCATGGCCTCCATCAATCTGACCGGGATGAACTCTGTACTTTCGAAAGTGGGGCAATCAACCGTGAAGAGATAGGTATTGTTGGTGTGGTGAGGTTGTGGCCGAGGGAGGAAGTCAGGGAAGGGTAAAGGGCATGGAAGTCACAAGGGTGGTGGCTGCTACTGCTGCATTTGTTTTCTCTTTGATTTTTTTATGTTTTTTCTTTCTAAATTTTACAAAGTTAACGGTTTAATTTCATGGTGAAGTGGGTGCACACATCTCAAAATATTAGAAAGGAGACACAAAGAGACATGGGATTTGGGGACAGCAGATTCGTTCCCCTCAGATAGGGACAAAATCACATATGAAAAGTTATTATAGTTTGCTATGGCATAATGTGCGCACCAACATTCTTCCCTCTCCTCCGAAACATAGATCACCAGACTCGGAAGCCACTCGTGTTATCCTCAAACTAATTCAGCATGAACTTACTCTATTATCCCAACTTAATTTTTATGTCAATCATCTTCATGTCCTATGGACATTTTGATAATTCTCGCATCGTGCTTGATTTTTCTTGGCTAATCACCAATATGTGTGAGAGCTACCATGTTCCCACATTCTGAGATGACCAGTGGTTTTCACCCACAACTTTTGTGATGGAAAAAAATAAAGCAGGCACTGATGGAAGAGTTCAGCTACGAACTAGTACTGACCTTGTTGGTGTTATTTTTTCGGGTGTTGGTGTTGGTACCAAAAATGTTGTTAGTAAGGTTATTCAAATTAAAATTTGGTGCAAAACACCAAGTGTGTGACCATGGTATTTCAAAATAGGTTAATTTTGTATGTTAACAAGGCAAACAATTGTGGGGTAAGATACTGGCCGGTAATGGAGTTAGATACTGGTCAGTAATGAGGTTTGATATGATTTACTCTTTTCTTTTTTGGTAAAAAGATTTACTTTTTAGTATCATTGATATATGTCATCATTTCCCATAGTAGGGTAGGCGACTCACCCATATATGTGCAACAAATTCATTTTGAATTATTTGTAGAAAAATGGAGGATTTAAGGGTTCTTAATTAAACTTGTTTCAAAAACCCAATGGAATTTTGAAGGTTGTCTGTCATCTTTTGATCTACAAGCCATCCTCTCTCTCTCTCTCTCTTGGCAGTTTACAACCAGAAGCCTTCTGCTTCCCTTTCTGGCAGGCACATGCTACCACATAGATCATGCATCCCCCAACCATATCAGTCACAAGTTATAACCAATCTAAGCCTAGGTTCTATGCTCTTATTATTATTGTACTGAAATCATCTTTGGTTTTAGGTCAATAGTATATTATGACAACTTTAAGATGTGAGAATGTAAAAAAAAAAAGAAAATTGTGGTATGTTAAATTAAGATAATTGATAACATCATGCGTTGGGTTAAGCTCCAATGCAACACAATTTGCATCTTTAATTAGGAGTTGCCTACAATTACATTGCAAAAATAGAAAAAGTAGAAAACTGATAATTTTCGATCAGTAATGTTTGAACCAGAACTTAGCAATCAAACAATTAGTACTTGAATTTTGTAGACACAAGTAAATATTCTGAGTTATGTTGTCAAAGCTAAGTGAATTACTAGGAATAGTTTTCTTATTTTATTTCTACAAATGGAACTAGAACATATGTAAAACTTCTTTATACTGGAATAGTTCCTAATGAAAATGGAACCATGGAAATAACCAATTATTACACTAATCTATCTTTATACTGGAATTGTTTTAAATAAAAATTCAATTTCCAAAATTCTGAATTGTTTGGAGTTCTATTATAGTAAATATTAATCTTGTTTGTGAGTTTGATTTGTTTGCTCCTATAAATGTATTCTCATTCCTATATGTTTTATTAGGTGGTGATGGGACTCTATATTGACTTAAATTTGAGTCCTAATGATGATGATGACGGTGAAGAGCATATTGATGGTGGAAGTTTAATTAATGGAAATAAAAACTTCCACCCTTTCTATAATGGCATGAAATTTGATTTAGAGCTCGATACATATTGTTTATATCTACAATATGCCAAGCTAATATAAGGTTTGTTGTTATAAAAATTGGTGGTCATCGCTCTTACAATTATGAGGAATGGATTGAGGTAAGATTTTCTTGTATAAGGTACGGAAAAAAGAGGAAAAGTAACTCTCTTAACCCCCAAACCTTTCTTGAAAACAGATTGCAAGGCAGTCTTACGTGTGAAAAGATAGGAAAATGGCATGTTCATAATTTTGTGAAAGATCATAACCATAAACTATGTCTGGAGAGTGCACACACCTTTGCATGCCACAAAAGATTTGCAAGTGGAGTGAAGAAGGAGCGTTTCAGTGAATTGCTTTCAAAAGTTTGTGCATTGGATGAAGCCTTAAAACAATGTACGCAAATCATAGGAATATTTTGTAATATTGCAAACTATCTGATTATTCCCACTTTAGCGACGACTAGTTAATTTTCCTGTTCATTTTGTATTGGACTTCCCTTGCCACACTTACGACCATCATTAAGGATGCAACGCGTGAACATTGACATTGACAGGCTAAATCAATTTGGCGCCACATGGACATTGACAAGTTCGGTTGGCACAAACTCGAAACACTGGATGCTGTATGAAAATTTATGGATCGTTATTGGAAGGCTGAAAATCCTGAAGCCTAGTTTAGTGCGGCAATATTCATCTTTTCGAGAAAGAAAATTATCATCGTGGGATCCAACAAGTCATCGTGGCTGCACGTGGTGGACACAAGTCGGCCTTGTATCTCATATGCTTATGGAACATATCTGACGAAATGAGTGAAAATTCTATGGACATATTGGAGTCCTTTACTAATGTGGGACAAATTAATATCAAAGAGTGTAGGGAAAAAGGAATTTATGCCATCTGCCACATCGGGTGATTGGATTAGTAGGTTGTACAAAGTTTTTGTCCCCAAGGAAGAGTGCCTGCGAAGTGTGACAAGTGTTGAAACTCTGAGTGTTGCATAAGTGTTGTTGTGGCTCCTAGACAACTGTGGTGTCCACAATACCCTGATGACAATGAGAGGAGTCGTTACGAACTGGGAACATCGGTAAGATATGAACATTTTGTAGTACAAGGTTTGATGCTCATGTCTGATTCTTCATGTTTTTGTTATACGATGCTAGGTTGTCTGTAAGTGTTGTCAAGACATACTTGTTATGTGAGGGTAATACTAATGACATTAAAGCATATGTGTATCAAAAAGAGAGACAAACTAACAATCTAATTTTATTAAAGAGACACTATATAAACTAACATTACATCTAATATATTAGACAAAGAGTCATGTCAAAACGTCAAACTCAATAATTTAGAAGAAATCGTATCAAATAATGCATAATAATAAAAGAAAATAAAATATATCAGAAAGTAAAACTGATAAAAGGGACGTGACAAACTTGAGAAAAACGGTGGAGTATTGGGGTTTAAGTCAAATCAACTCCCCAAAATGTATCATACATTATTATTATTTTTATATACAAATGGTCAAAACACATGGTTTTTTTTTCCTTAATTTATATGTTAGTGGGATGCATACAAACTTACAATATATATGACCTTTGAGCCACAATTAGTAGAAAAAAATGGGAGCAGGAGATGTTTTAAATATATTATATAGGTGTGTTGTTATTACAATTTAGGTTTAATGTATTTGGTATTCCTTCAACCAAAGTTGTTGTTGACATGTTGGCATTATGTCCTTTAAGCCAAAGCTGAGTTATGGCCTGTAAACATGGGAACACTAATATGTCAGTCTCTTAAAGAGTTTGAACCAGAACTTCACCTCTATGAGCCATTTGCAGCGAGTGCAACCATGACATGTTGCAGGGTCCCAGTTATTCATTTTATGTGGTAAGTACAACCATTGCAATCTTGACTGGGGGATAAATCACCCCACATACACTTTTAAATGTAATTCTATATTTGGTTTCAACCCAACCCACTTAGATTAACATGAATTACAATTGGTATATACAATACTAATATTTTTATTTTTAAAAGTCATTTTTTTTTTGTGGCCAAATGATGTGATGTGCAATGCAGGGACACAATGTGGGCAATGTAAAGGCTTGAAGTGGCCATGAACTTGATTATACGTTGTTATAAGTTACGACGTCGAAATACATCAAAACTTCATAACATATTGAAAATACATGAAAGAGAAGACATAAGCACCATGCACAAAAGTTCATAACATAGTGAAATACAATAGATGAATTAAAAAAAAAGGAAACATAGTGGGTTTTAATAAATCCACACCAATGTTCTGTAAAAGACGCCTATTGGGAGGGGATAACTCAAGACACTTGGATAATTATAACTTTGACTGGTGAATTAAATAAAATTTTAAAAGGTGCCTAACATCCTTTGTGCTTGATTTATAAATGCAATGTATCATTTCCTCACAAAGAAAAAAAATATAAATTCAAAGTTAACCTGATGCGTTTGCCAATTGGCTTTTTTGTTGGTTGGCTCCAGAGACATTATGAAGACACTATATAAGCACTCAATGGACACCATAAAACATTACATATATACTCTAGCAATATCATGGAGACACTATATGAATGCCACAACGACAATACATATAGACAATAAAGAAACAATACATATACACAATAGAGGCACACTATATACAGGCATTAATAATTCACAAAAATCAAAATAGTAGGCTAAGAATTCTCATAAACCTAAGAATGAGATGTGATTAGCTACCTTGTTCAAAGTCGTTTTGCACCATCTTCATCTTCATGGCCAATGAAACCATCACATTGAAGATCTCCAATCTCGTATAATGATTCCTCCTACTTAAAAGTGGCATATTTCCCAACAAGATGAAATAAAATGGAATTCCGAAACAAATCAAGAAAATTAAGTTGAATGGAACAAACTTACAAATTAGAGTTATGTCCAAGGATAAGGTTAAGAGTAGTACTAGCGTACCGAACACCTGGGCGGTACGAGTTGCGGCCGAGTTGGGCAAACCTTGTGAGGATGCATATGACCATACAGAGCTTGAGGAGATGGAAAATCCTTTGTTGCATATCTTATAGTTATACCATTTGTCAGCCAAAGGTAAATATTTTGGCTTAGGGCCACGAAGCCTGTGCAAATTCATATGGCAACCGAAAGTGTTAAAACTTTAGCTCACATAACTTACACAGCCAATGCCTTAGGGGAGATGATAGTCTATTGTTGGTCTTCGTGTTTATGTTTTGATTGATAAGTGAGATAAGGGAGGTTGGGAAGGAGTTTGAACGGCATTCACTTTTGTCTGCAACACCTTCGTCGATTCCTCTAACTAAAAAGTGGCCCATTTCCAACAAGATTAAATGAAATGAAAATTATGAAACAAATCAAGAAAATTAAATTAAATGAAACAAAGTTACAAATTAGAGTTACGTCTAAGGATAAGGTTAAGAGTAGCACTAGCATACCGAACACATGGGGGTAAGGGTTGCGGCCGAGTTGGGTGAACCTTGAGAGGATGCATATGACCACACAGAGCTCGAGTAGATGGAAACCCTTTGTTTCATATCTTATAGTTATACCACTTAGCAGCCAAATGTAAGTATTTCGGCTTGGGTTCATGAAGCCTATGAGAATTCATTTGGCAACCAAAGCTTTAAAAGACATAAAATATAGCTCACATAACTTAAAAGGCCAATGCTTTAAGGAGACGATAATCCATTGTTGGTCAACTTGCTCTTCTCCGTGTTTATGCTTTGATTGATAAGTGAGATAAAGGAGGTTGGGAAGGAGTATGAATGGCATTCACTTTCGTCTGCAACACCTTCTTCATTTCCTCCAACTCAAAAGTGGCATATTTTCCAATAAGATTAAATGAAACGGAAATTCCGAAACAAATCAAGAAAATTAAATTAAATGGAACAAACTTACAAATTAGAGTTATGTCCAAGGATAAGGTTTAGAGTAGTACTAGCGTACTGAACATCTGGGGTTAAGGGTTGCAGCCGAGTTGGGTGAACCTTGTGAGGATGCATATGAATATACAGAACTCAAGTAGATGAAAACCCTTTGTTGCATATCTTATAGTTGTACCGATTAGCAGCCAAAGGTAAGTATTTCGGCTTCAGTCCACGAAGCCTGGAGAATTCATATGGCAACGGAAAACGTTAAAAGATATAAACTGTAGTTCACATAACTTACACGGCCAATGACTTAGGGGAGATGATAGTCCATTATTGGTCTCCGTGTTTATGTTTTGATTGATAATTGAGATAAGGGAGGTCGGGAAAGAGTTTGAATGGCATTCGCTTTCGTCTGCAACACCTTCGTCGATTCCTCCAACTCAAAAGTGGCCCATTTCCTAACAAGATTAAATGAAATGGAAATTCCGAAACAAATCAAGAAAATTAAATTAAATGGAATAAAGTTACAAATTAGAGTTACGTCCAAGGATAAGGTTAAGAGTAGTACTATTGTATATACCGAATACCTGGGGGTAAGGGTTGCGGCTGAGTTGGGTAAACCTTGAGAGGTGAATATGACCATACAGAGCTCGAGTAGATGAAAACCCTTTGTTGCATATCTTACAGTTGTACCGATTGGCGAAGCCTGTGGGAATTCATATTGCAACCAAAAGTGTTAAAAGATGTAAACTCTAGTTCACATAACTTACACAGTCAATGCCACAAGAGAGATGATAGTCCATTGTTGGTCAACCTGCTCTTCTTCGTGTTTATGCTTTGATTGATAAGTGAGATAAGGGAAGTCGGGAAGGAGTTTAATGGCATTCACTTTTGTCTGCAACACCTTCGTTGATTCCTCCAACTCAAAAGTGGCATATTTCCTAACAAGATTAAATGAAATGGAAATTTCTAGACAAATCAAGAAAATTAAATTAAATGGAACAAACTTACAAATTTGAGTTACGTCCAAGGATAAAGTTAAGAGAAGTACTAGCGTATCGAACACCTGGGGGTAAAGGTTGCAGTCGAGTTGAGCGAACTTTGTGAGGATGCATATGACCATATAGAGCTTGACTAGATGGAAACCCTTTATTGCATATCTTACAGTTGTACCGCTTGGCAACTAAAGGTAAGTATTTCTACTTCGGTGTACGAAGCCTGTGAGAATTCATATGGCAACCGAAAGCGTTAAAAGATGTAAACTCTAGTTCACAAATTTACACAACCAATGCCTTAAGGGAGATGATAGCCCATTGTTGGTCCACATACTCTTCTCCATGTTTATGCTTTGATTGATAAATGAGATACGGGAGGTCGAGAAGGAGTTTGAATGACATTCACTTTCGTCTACAACACCTTCATTGATTCGTCCAACTCAAAAGTGGCCCATTTCCCAACAAGATTAAATGAAATGGAAATTTCGATACAAATCAAGAAAATTAAATTAAATGAAACAAACTTACAAATTTGAGTTATGTCCATGGAGAAGATTAAGAGTAGTACTTGCATACCGAATAGTTGCGGGTAAGGGTTGCAACTGAGTTGGGAAACCTTGTGAGGATGCATATGACCATACAGAGCTCAAGTAGATGGAAACCCTTTTGTTGCATATCTTACAGTTGTACCGCTTTGTAACTAAAACTAAATATTTCAGCTTGTGTCCACGAAGCCTGTGAATATTTATATGGCAACCGAAAGCATTAAAAGATGTAAACTCTAGTTCACATAACTTACACGGCCAATGCCTTAAGGGAGATGATAGTCCATTGTTGGTCAACCTGCTCTTCTCTGTATTCATGCTTTGATTGATAAGTGAGATGAGGGAGGTTGGGAAGGAGTATGAATTGGATTCGATTCCTCCAACTCAAAAGTGGCCTATTTCCCAACAAGATGAAATGAAATGGAAATTCCAAAACAAATAAAAAAAATTAAATGGAACAAACTTACAAATTTGAGTTATGTCCACGGAGAAGGTAAATAGTAGCACTAACGTACCGAACACTTGGGGTAAGGGTTGCAGCTGAGTTGGGCGAACCTTGTGAGGATGCATATGACCATACAGAACTCGAGTATATGGAAACCCTTTGTTGCATATCTTACAGTTGTACTGCTTGGCAGCCAAAAGTAAGTATTTCTGCTTGGGTTCACAAAGAGTGTGAGAATTCATATGGCTTCCGAAAGCGTTAAAAGATGTAAAATCTAGCTCACATAACTTATATGGTCAATGCCTTAAGGGTTATGATGGTCAATTATTGGTCAACCTACTCTTCTTCCTGTTTATGCTTTGATTGATAAGTGAGATTAAGGAGGTCGGGAAGGAGTCTGAATGGTATCTACTTTCGTCTACAACTCCTTCGTCGATTCTTCCAACTCAAAAGTGGCCTATTTCACAACAAGATAAAATGAAATGGAAATTCTGAAAACAAATTAAGAAAATTAAATTAAATGGAACAAACTTACATATTAGAGTTAAATCCAAGGATAAAGTTAAGAGTAGTACTAGTGTTCCGAACACTTGGGGGTAAGGGTTGCAGCTGTGTTGGGGGAACCTTGTGAGGATGCATATGACTAAATAGAGCTCGAATAGATGGAAACCCTTTGTTGCATGTCTTACAGTTGTACCGCTTCGCAGCCAAATGTAAGTATTTTTGCTTAGGTCCATGAAGCCTATGAGCATTCATATGGAAATTGAAAGCGTTAAAAGATGTAAACTCTAGTTCACAAACTTACACGACCAATGCCTTAAGAGAGATGATAGTCCATTGTTGGTCCACCTTCTCTTCTCCATGTTTATGCTTTGATTGATAAGTGAGATAAAGGAGGTCGGGAAGGAGTTTGAATGACATTCACTTTCGTTTGGAACACCTTCGTTGATTCCTCCAACTCAAAAGTGGCCCATTTCCCAACAAGATTAAATGAAATGGAAATTTCGATACAAATCAAGAAAATTAAATTAAATGGAACAAACTTACAAATTTGAGTTATGTCCATGGAGAAGGTTAAGAGTAGTACTTGCGTACCGAATAGTTGCGGGTAAGGGTTGCAACTGAGTTGGGAAACCTTGTGAGGATGCATATGACCATACAGAGCTCAAGTAGATGGAAACCTTTTTGTTGCATATCTTACAGTTGTACCGCTTTGTAACTAAAACTAAGTATTTCAGCTTGTGTCCACGAAGCCTGTGAATATTTATATGGCAACCGAAAGCATTAAAAGATGTAAACTCTAGTTCACATAACTTACACAGCCAATGCCTTAAGGGAGATGATAGTCCATTGTTGGTCAACCTGCTCTTCTCTGTATTCATGCTTTGATTGATAAGTGAGATAAGGGAGGTTGGGAAGGAGTATGAATTGGATTCGATTCCTCCAACTTAAAAGTGGCCTATTTCCCAACAAGATGAAATGAAATGGAAATTCCAAAACAAATAAAAAAAAATTAAATGGAACAAACTTACAAATTTGAGTTATGTCCACGGAGAAGGTAAATAGTAGCACTAGCGTACCGAACACTTGGGGTAAGGGTTGCGGCTGAGTTGGGCGAACCTTGTGAGGATACATATGACCATACAGAACTCGAGTATATGGAAACCCTTTGTTGTATATCTCATAGGTGTATTGCTTGGCAGCCAAAGGTAAGTATTTCATCTTGGGTCCAAGAAGTTTGTGAGAATTCATATGGCTTCGGAAAGCGTTAAAAGATGTAAACTCTAGTTCGAATAACTTACACGGCCAATGCCTTAGGGGAGATAATGGTCAATTGTTGGTTAACCTACTCTTCTCCCTGTTAAATGAAATGGAAATTCTGAAAACAAATTAAGAAAATTAAATTAAATGGAACAAACTTACATATTAGAGTTACATCCAAGGATAAAGTTAAGAGTAGTACTAGTGTTCCGAACACTTGGGGGTAAGGGTTGCAGCTGTGTTGGGAGAACCTTGTGAGGATGCATATGACTAAATAGAGCTCGAATAGATGGAAACCCTTTGTTGCATGTCTTATAGTTGTACCGCTTCGCAGCCAAATGTAAGTATTTTTTCTTAGGTCCACGAAGCCTATGAGAATTCATATGGAAACTGAAAGCGTTAAAAGATGTAAACTCTAGTTCACAAACTTACACGACCAATGCCTTAAGAGGGATGATAGTCCATTGTTGGTCCACCTTCTCTTCTCCATGTTTATGCTTTGATTGATAAGTGAGATCAGGGAGGTCGGGAAGGAGTTTGAATGACATTCACTTTCGTTTGCAACACCTTCGTTGATTCCTCCAACTCAAAAGTGGCCTATTTCCCAACAGGATTAAATAAAATGGAAATTTTGAAAGAAATCAAGAAAAATAAATTAAATGGAACAAACCTACAAATTTGAGTTACGTCCACGGATAAGGTGAAGAGTAGTACTAGCGTACCGAACACCTGTGAGTAATGGTTGTTGCTGAGTTGAGTGAACCTTGTGAGGATGCATATAAAGAGCTCAAGTAGATAGAAACCTTTTATTGCATATCTTACAGTTGTACCGCTTTGCAACTAAAAGTAAGTGTTGCGGCTTTGATCCATGAAACCTATAAGTATTTATATGGCAACCAAAAGCGTTAAAAGATGTAAACTCTAGTTCACATAACTTACACGGTCAATGCCTTAAGGGAGATGATAGTCCACTGTTGGTCAACTTGCTCTTCTCTATGTTCATGCTTTGATTGATAAGTGGGATAAGGGAGGTTGGGAAGGAGTATGAATTGGATTCGATTCCTCCAACTCGAAAGTGGCCTATTTCCCAACAAGATGAAATGAAATGGAAATTCCGAAACAAATCAAAAAAATTAAATGGAATAAACTTACAAATTTGAGTTACGTCCACAGATAAGGTAAAGAGTAGCACTAGCGTACCGAACACTTGGGGTAAGGGTTGCGGCCTAGTTGGGCGAACCTTGTGAGGATGCATATGACCATATAGAACTCTTGTAGATGGAAACCATTTGTTGCATATCTTACAGTTGTACTGCTTGGTAGCCAAAAGTAAGTATTTCAGCTTGGGTTCACAAAGCGTGTGAGAATTCATATGGCTTCCGAAAGCGTTAAAAGATGTAAAATCTAGCTCACATAACTTATATGGTCAATGCCTTAAGGGTTATGATGGTCAATTATTGGTTAACCTACTCTTCTTCCTGTTTATGCTTTGATTGATAAGTGAGATTAAGAAGGTCGGGAAGGAGTTTGAATGGTATCTACTTTCGTTTACAACCCCTTCGTCGATTCTTCCAACTCAAAAGTGGCCTATTTCACAACAAGATGAAATGAAATGGAAATTACGAAACAAATTAAGAAAATTAAATTAAATGGAACAAACTTACATATCAGGGTTACATCAAAGGATAAAGTTAAGAGTAGTACTAGCGTTCCGAACACTTGGGGGTAAGGGTTGCGACCGTGTTAGGCGAACCTTGCAAGGACCAAGGTCTTAAATATCGATAGTTTCGGAAATATAGGTGGTTCAAAAACACGGAAATATCGATGGAAATATCGGAAAAATATCGATATCGATAAAAATTGGATAAAAACCACGGAAATTATGATAAATACATGGAAATTTTTAATGAAACTTTAGAAGAAGTTTATTTAGTCAATCATCTATTATTTTGACACAAAAAATTGGAAGGAAATGCATTGCATAGTGGGTTTGTGTGATTTAAGTTGATTATATTGCGACCTGACAAACTCGGCGACTTAGAAAATTTGAAGTAATTAATGAAAGAGAATTAAACACCCCTTAGAAAATTTGAAGATGTAAACCAATTTGATTTTTCATGAAAATTAGGCACTTTACCATGCTTAAAAATAATAGTGAAGATTGAAAATTAACTAAGAACATAAATAAATTTATCAAAGGAAGAATTAAATAGCAAATAATGAAAATGATTATAGAGATTTAAGTAATTAAGCAACAATTTGAAGGAGAATTTAGTAATGTAAGTACTTATAATGAATAATAAAATAATTAATAAATTAAATGGATTAAATAAAAAAGAAATAAATTATATTAAGTAATTAAGACACATTTCACACTTCCCAAATGTTTTCACGTTTCCCTACCTCCCTCTTCCACTTCCCAATGCTTTTTTTTTCCGTTTTTTTGTCTGACTTCCCAAGGTTGCAAATAGATACACGCAACCTTCTCTCTCTCTTTTGGGCATTCACCCATCTCTCCCTTTTTATTTTATTTATTTATTCCTCTCTCTGTCTCCCTTTCTTCTTCTAACTCTCCGTCTCTCTTTCTCTTCTTCCTATTCCCTCTTCTCTCTCCTCCATCACAATCCTCCATGCCTTTTTTTTCCTCTTCTTCCCTTCTCTCTCTCTCGCTCTCCTATATCTGCTTTTTTTTTCTTTCTTCTTCTATCTCTCCGTCTCTTTCCCTGCTTCCTCTTCCCTTTTCTCTCTCACTTCATCACAATCTAAAACAGCAAAACATAAAACCCACTCCATAATTGTTTTTGATTGCTGAGTGTTTGTTCGATCCGAGCTCAAGTCTTATGCTTCTGGATCGGATTTTGAAATATTTACAGATCAGAGCGCCTTTTCTGTTCTTTTCGAAATCGTAATCTTATTTGTTGATGATAATTATTTATGATTGCTGAGTGTTTGTTCGATCCGAGCTCAAGTCTTATGCTTCTGGATCGGATTTTGAAATATTTACAGATAAGTGGATCTTAGGGTTTATTTTGGTATTATGTTTTGAAATATTTAAATTGTTTCATTTTTGACACAGTTCAAGTCGCGATATTATCGATAATATCGCGATATTATGACCATTTAAACTGCGAATTGGACGAAAATATCTTCCTTGAAATATCCTCGAAATTATCGAGGAAAATATCGATAAAATGACGATATATACTTGGAAGTGTGCTAAAATTTTGGAGCCCCAAAAAAATGATATTTTAGCCGATATTTCGGAGAAAATATCGAAATTTTGTATTGTGGCAAGGACACATATGACCATACAGAGATCGAGTAGATGGAAACCTTTTGTTGCATGTCTTACAGTTCTACAGCTTGGCAGCCAAATGTAAGTATTTTTGCTTGGGTCCACGAAGCCTGTGAGAATTCATATGGCAACCAAAAGCGTTAAAAGATGTAAACTCTAGTTCACATAAGTTACACAGCCAATGGCTTAGGGGAGATGATAGTCCATTGTTGGTCAATATGCTCTTTTCCGTATTTATGCTTTGATTGATAAGTGAGATAAGGGACGTCGGGAAAGAGGTTGAATTGCATCCACTTTCATCTGCAACACCTTCGTCGATTCCTTTAACTCAAAAGTGGCCTATTTCCCAAAAGGTTGAAATCAAATGGAAATTATGAAACAAATCTAGAAAAATAAATTAATGGAACAAACTTACAGTTTTCAGCTTCTTTAGAATGGTAGTTAGCTTATCCACACTCGCACTCAGCATTTTCTACTGCTCATTAGTGTGCTGCTTGTTAAAGAAGTCACCAATTGTAGCAGAAACGCCTGCTACAGTGATTAGAGTACCCATATGTAACGATACAGCCTTTAGTTGACCCCACATGATGTTGATGACCTCCCTTACGACATTGGATTGCTTGTTCTATACTATTACTCTAAGAAGGTCCGGTATTCCTTTATCTCCGTCCACCATCGCCTCTGCTTTGCGCCTCCCTGATTTTAAGTGTGATCAAGCCAAGGTTTTATTCGTAAGGAAATCCCCAAGTGAAGGCATGTCGCAGTTGGTGTCACTAAATGAGATAGCACCACGACGAACAAAATCAGAATTTTACAACTACTATGGTCTACCATGGTATGTTGTGCGCACTAACATTATTGCATCTTCTCCAATACAATCATCACAATCTTCGCGAGACTCTAAGCTCATCCTCGACTTTATAGATCACATATTCCATGATCAGAAATTATTTTCAATAGGATCATCAACAACTCCTGTGGACTTGTTGTGTACGTCTAGCTGACTAGTGCTTCGTTTCCTATGTCTAATCACAAAGTTGTGTGAGACCACAATATTCCCTACAAGTACTTTATTACCTTCATTATTAGTAGCGCACAATCAATCAACTCGTTAGTAAGTTTGGACAACATCGATCTCTTCATACTGTACAAGTGTTAACAAAATCCTTAATTTCTTTACCCTCGCTATTACAAACCACACCTGCATTTTTCAACTACATTCACTATGTACTTATCTACAAAATGCTCAACCTATTTCATTCTCATACAGCCTAGCACTTGGCAACATATAATCTCGTAAAATTCATACCATTTGCAACTGCAATATGCTTGATTGACACATTTATCATGCACAATCCACTTAACTACTAAAACCCCACCTTTACCAATTCCAAAAAACAAAGAAGACTTTTCCATTCCTCCACCTGAACCTTGTGAAGTATTGGACAAGTGTACATACCTGAAAACATAAAATGTTGAATAATACTTAATACGTTGTTTGTTGTCATTTAGATTAACAATTGATCTTGCGAAATAGGTTTCAAAAAAATAATTCATGAGTTTGAAGCCAATACACATGAAATTGTAGAGTTGACAAATATCAGATGACACCAATCAAAGAGAAATAAGATCTTAGAAAAAATAAAAGACTATTCAAGTATTGCACACATACCCGCCATTTGAGTTTCCACTGACGTGCAGATTGAGGGTGGAGGTTTTTCGTACTAATCAACATGATCAACAACCACCTCATTATGTCGCTCCTAGGCAAGCGCCTCATCAAAACGTGTTATGTATTTCCCTAATGTATTTCGTATGTCACTATACTATTTTGGTTATTTTTGGTTCTAGATAACATAGCACCCCTGTATCTCTTGTGATGACTAGATTTTTCGATCGAGCCCTTCTTTATAGCACACATATGCTTTCCACAAAATCTCCCTTGTATAAGTTGATTTTCTACTTGAATTTATCCGAGTGGCAAAACTAGCTTGACTTGCATACATATTATACAAATTGTATACATTGTCCAGAGTATCAAACTCAACCCCCAATTTTGGTTCGAACTCGACACTTATTTCCAGTACCACACACATGCCATCCCTGAGTACTTGATCACTGTCTCCTTGGGGACTTCAACAAGGTTCTCCACCTTTCTGTTATCCTCCATTTTATGAATATTGCAATAAACCCTAAGTATCGTATGATTTTGAGAACCCATTACTACCATACTAATATAGTAGCATATGTTTGCAAACCGTATTCACTTAGATGTGAATAAAAATAATAGAAAATTTGTCTTAGCCCCTTCAAATTCAATTTGAGTTACCTAAAACCCTTCCCTGTTTGCTTCTATAAGTAATACCCCAGTTTTTATCAACCAAAACCCATGACTAGGATCCAACTCATCAAATTACCTTATTAAGCTATATATCTGATTTATTATGATTTTTAAGTTCCCAAAATACCCCTATTTACAATTGAGCGCGTATAAGAGGCTGGGGTTTGAAGTTTTGGTCCCCCTATTTATTGTAGTGATCCTCTCCAGAATTTGTGTCTTCAATTAATTATCCGTTTTGATTATGGGGTTAATTTTCGTAGTCCTACGTTTTGATTATGGTTCTAGTTGGGAGATTGGTGTTCTGATTAGGGTTCCTAAAGGTGGAAATTTGGTTGGGGGGTTTCTTCTGTTGCAGTTCAAGAAATTCCAGGTATTGAAATTCCATTTGAAAATTCCAGAGCATTCGACACTGACTAGCAAGCGTGAGTGGTCTGCCGTCAAATTGCAGGTAAAAAACGTCTTTCTCCTCTATGTATATGGAGCCCCGTTCATTGTTAGTCTTAACCAGAACCAGAGCAAAATTGGGTATCTGGGTATTAGTTTACCTACACGAAAAAGATGGGTTTGATTTTTGGTTTTTTAAAACCTGGTTATGGACCTTCAGCATACAAACTAGAGCAAAACCAGAGCAAACCTGGGTATCTGGGTATTAGTTTACCTACACGAAATAGATGGGTTAGATTTTTGCTGTTTTTAAACCTGGTTTGATTTTTGCTTTTCTTGACAACCTGATAACAGGTTCTGTTGTACATGATCCTGTTTTTTTTTTTTTTTAGAATCAATTTTTAAGTTCTTGTATAGTGATTGTTAGTTTTATCCTGCCAGTACAGAAAATCAACATCAGCCCACCATGTAGGTAAGTATTGATTATGTACCTACAGACAGCTTATATACTTCGCACTCTATCATGTTCCATTGAAAATTCAACAAAAACAACTATGCATAATGGATGCCTTGTCAACCGAACCTAATTGTTAGTTAGCCTCGTGATCAAGTTTTAAATCATGCTAATTGGTAGCAAATCTTTTTTATTAAACAAATTACATGAACCACCATATATGGTTTTTATACTTGTCATGGTATGTGGAAGGAGAGAAATGAGAAATAAGCACAATACAATACACTAATTCGAATTACTCGAAAGAGTGTATAGGTTTGGTTTATAAACAAGAAACTGTAATTTTAAGTTTTAGTTCATAAGATAGGTCAATCAGCTTTGCTCTTCCTCAAAACAAATGAAATTTTAACATTTGTCAATTTTAGCCTAGCTTTGATTTTTGGTTTTTTAAAGGCTGGTTATGGACCTACAACATATATACAAACTAGAGCAAAACCAGAGCAAACCTGGGTATTTGGGTATTAGTTTACCTACAGGAACATAGATGGGTTTGATTTTTGCTGTTTTTAAATCTGGTTTGATTTTTGCTTTTTTTGATAACCTGATAACAGGTTCTGTTGTACATGATCCTGTTTTTTTTAGAATCAATTTTTAAGTTCTTGTGTAGTGATTGTTAGTTTTATCCTGCCAGTACAGAAAATCAACATCAGCCCACCATGTAGGTAAATGTTGATTATGTACCTACAGTCTGAAAACATACCTACAGGAATCTCTTACAACGGGCTTTGCTATATATAATTACATTTTTTTCCTATATATTTTTTGAGATACTCCCCTAACTCATAACAGTTGTGTTCTTTTTCTTTTAGTTGGTTAGGTCAATTATTCTCATCATTCTTATTCTACCTATCCAACAAACAATGATTTTTATTTGCATGTAATATTCTTGGATACTTGGGTAGGTACATTAGTACATGAAAGAGAGAGACTAACAATCATTACTTTCTTTGTTACAGCAAAAATGGAACCTGCCGTATTTGGAAGATGTGTGTTTAAGGACAAAACAGTTTCCATTCCACTTCAAAGTGACTCAACTTTAATGTTCTTGTGTTCTAATATATGTTCAAGATTCAATGAGCTTGAGGTGGGGGCGTTTGAGATGTCTTACCTCGTGCCGGATCATCCTCCATGTGTACTAGAGACGGACTTAGATGTGCGTGTAATGTATCTGTCCTTGATGAATGAGGAGAAATATACAGTTACAATTACAATTGCTATTAAGGAGTTTCTATTTCCTGAAAAGCAAAACGGTGTTGATGATGTGTTTTGTGGTGATGGTAATATGCATAATGCTGAGGACGATTTCATTGGGAAATATGCAGCACCTTCTGGTCATACATACTTGTCTCAGGCTTGGAAGAGCTACATCAATCATGTGGGTCAGAAGTTTATTGGTGGGGTTATTGAGTTCAGAGAAAAATTGTGCAAGTATGCGATTGAGAAAGGTTTTAAGGTTAGGTACCTTAAAAATGAAAAAGAGAGAGTGACTGCCCAGTGTTCTAAAAAAGTGTCTGATGGTTGTAGGTGGCGTGTGCATGCGTCATTATGTCCTGCAAATGGGTTTTTTTACATTCGGAGCCTGAACAACGAACACACTTGCAAAGGACGTATCCGTGAACGTACGAGCAGCATGATGTCTTCGAAAATTGTGTCCTCTGTTTTGGTTGACCAAATCCAATCTACACCATTGATTAAACCGATCGAAATTGTCAAGGATTTCAAGAAAAACTATGGGTTGGACATTTCTTATCACAATGCATGGTACGGGAAGGAATTAGCAAAGAAAAGGGTCCATGGTGATGAGTCATTGTCATATAAACACCTAGCTTGGTACGTGGGAGCGGTGTTGAGCTCAAACCCTGGTTCACGTTGTATATTGGAGTGTGACCCAGAGTCATCCAGATTCAAAAGGTTTTTCATTTCCTTCCATGCTTGCATAGAAGGATTTAGATTTTGCAGGCCATTATTATTCCTTGATGGGACATTTATCAAGAACAAATATAAGGGGCACTTGCTTGCTGCTACTGGGAAAAATGGCAACCAAGGTAATGAAACAAGTGGCTTTGACCAAAAAATTTTAATTCAATTTTATGCCACTCTCTATAGGCAAACTATGATAATTTTTTGGGTATTGGTGTTTTATATTTTGGGGCATTCTATTTACAATGTATTGTGCACCCACCTGGTCAGTTTTTGTTCTTTTTTGTTGTTGATATTTACATATCTTGAAAGGAAAATTTCAGTTTGTGACCTATCTGCCAGTACAAAAAAGAGTTATGATCTAATATTAATTTACCTTAAAACAGGTATGTATCCTTTAGCGTTTGCAGTCGTTGATTCCGAAAATGAAGAAAATTGGACCTGGTTCCTCCAAAATCTTGCAGAAATTGTCAACCCCCAAGGAAGGACTATTGCATTCATATCTGATCGTAACAAAGGGTTGCTTGAAGCACTACCCTTCGTGTTCCCACATTCACTGCATGCATTTTGCTTCCACCATTTGAAACACAATGTCCTTGCCAGGTATCCATCATCATTGGGAAAGACATATCGTGATTGGATTGTTCATCTTTTTGGTAAGTGTGCATATGCTCCAACGGAGGACGCATTCGAAATGCATATGAGAACGCTTAAGGAGGAGGGTGGTGCTGTAATAAGAGAGTTTTTGAAAAACCTTCCAAAAGAAAATTGGTCAGCTGCTTACTTTCCAGGTAAAAAGTTTAAATACCACTGAAGCCACTTCGGCTTCCTTAATGTCGCCATATTTTTATAGGTATTTAATAGCTAGTGTTTTGCATTTTGAGGTTTGTTTCTTACAATTATATTTTACAGTGTTATGCAGCTACTCAGGTTTTTTTTTTGGCTTTCTACTAACTTTGGCTCATGAAATCCTAATTACCAGGTAAGAAATATGGTGAAATGTGTTCCAATGTAGCAGAGTCCTTTAATGCATGGATTGTAGACCAACGTCATTTGCCCATTTACCAGTTGATAGATGGTATAAGGATCAAAATTATGGAAATGATTGCTCAAAGAAGACGTATAGCAGAAGAATGGAACACTTGCCTATGTCCAGAAATGGAGACAAGGTTAGAGGAATTATTGGATAATGGACGCCATTGGGACGTAGTCGTTCTGGTGAGTTCTCGTTTGAGGTTCATGGCGATGACTCTGTAATGGTAGACTTGCAGAGTCGTACCTGTAGTTGCTGCATGTGGCAGATCAAAGGTTTTCCCTGTGTGCATGCATGTGTGGCAGTAATAAAGAATGATGGGAATCCATTTGATTATGTGGAAGAGTTTTTCATGGTGGAATATTTTTAAAAGTGTTACGACATACCAATCCTTCCCATACCAGATATTGATAGGCATGCACAAGAGGATTTGGGGGAATCTTTTGTGAACCTGCCATTGACAAAGAAACCACCAGGGAGACCCAAGGTGAAGCGTATCAAATCTTTGGGGGAACAATTTCGGCCAGTAACATGTAGCAGGTGCAGAAGACTCGGTCGTCACACCAAAAGAACATGCACTGCCCAAATTTGATATTTGTTTGGTCCAAAACTTGTTTTACCAAAACAAGCTTTTTGTTTTGTTATTGTTTTCAATTTGAGAAAACTGTCAGCAGAGATTCACCATATTGATTTATTCCGTCGTTATTATGATGGCATCTTGTAGGTCTGCTTACCTACACAATTTTGACAAAATCTTGTATACTGATAACAGTTGACTCCATGTGTGTTAATTGGATAGGTAAATTGTGTGCATCAACAAAACAGTTTGGTCATATGATATATTTTGCTTTTGATATCCTGATAACAGGATCTGCTGTACATGATCATGTTTTTTTTTTCTTTTTCTTTTTTCAGAGAATCATGATGTTAGTTTTATACTTTTGTATAGTGATTGTTAGTTGGATGGTTAAATTGTTGGTAGGCAAACTAGTTCACCCCATCGTGCCTATTGTGAGAAAGCATGTGCACCACACTTAGAAAAAAGTGAATGGCAGGTACCCTGCTCATTTTTAGGTCTCTCCCATGCTTCATAGTGTACCTGGTTTGGGGTTTGATTTTTGCTCTTTTTTGGTTTGATTTTTAGTTGTGATTCTGTTTTTGTTATTTTTAGAATCATGATGTTAGTTTTATACTTTTGTATAGTGATTGTTAGTTGGATGGTTAAATTATTGGTAGCCAAACTAGTTCACCCCATTGTGCCTATTGTGAGAAAGCATGTGCACCACACTTAGAAAAAAATGAATGGCAGGTACCGTGCCCATTTTTAGGTCTCTCCCATGCTTCATAGTGTACTCCAAAAAGAAGGATAACTTCCCTCTGTGTTCGCCTATGCTTGACAATAGTTTACAGACAAAAAAAATGACATCCTCCAGGTACACCGTAAAAAATGGATTCCAAACAACAAGTACAATATCACCAGATTCCAAGCAGGTGCAGAAAAGAAGAATTGGATTGAATAATTAGTCTGAAGAAACATTGGTGCCTCAACAACATGATTTGCATATGTAAAATGACATGCTAGTAGATACACTGTTCATCCAAAAAAAAAAAACCTCCAATTCTTACAATGCTTGGCCAGAAAGCTTCTGAATCATAACTAAAACAAAACGTTAAAACATTTTTGTCCAACATATCATTCATCTTTCCAACTTTTCCCATCATGAAGAAATTTGTTGATGACTTTTGCACGATATTCCTTCATTGTGTTCTCTGTAAAACAAGGTGCCATGTTCTGACACTTCGAAATAGTTGAGATATAGTACATCACAGTGACCCCACAGTCGACACTGGAAAACAAAAAAAGAAAGAAAGAAAAAGAGTAGTTTGATTTGGTGCATACAAAAAGAATCAGTTTTTTTTTCTCATCCAATTTTGATCACACATGTTCTATAACAAAGAAAGTAATGATTGTTAGTCTCCCTCTTTCATGTACTAATGTATCTACACAATCAACATTTACCTACATGGGGGGCTGATGTTGATTTTCTGTACTGGCAGGATAAAACTAACAATCACTATACAAGAACTTAAAAATTGATTCAAAAAAAAAAAAAAACAGGACCATGTACAACAGAACTTGTTATCAGGTTATCAAAAGAAGCAAAAATCAAACCAGGTTTTAAAACAGCAAAAATTAAAAAAAACAGTGTTGCCCAATGGAAATCTACAATTCAAAGGAAATTAACCACATTACTTACGAGTCATCCATTTGTTGTGGGCAATTAGTCGATCGCCATAAAGGATAGTTAACATCAGTAGCTTTTAGCCATTGAAACGTTTGTTTCTCACCATTGGTTAATGATGATTTGATTGCCTTTTCTCCAACCTTTTCAGGCTGTCTGATCCGATGACCATTGCTTAACACCACTGGTGCAATGCAACTATTAAATTGTAGGAAAGATGTAACTGCATCTCGCTGCAAAAATGACCATCCGTCAGTTAACATTAAAAAATCAGAATGCCATAATATCATAATGGCAAACATTATATCTACATGCTCTGTAAATGTGACCAACCAGTTTCTGTGCATTAAGAAAGCATGGATCATTTGATGAATTTGACACAAGACGTCTGGGATCGTAGTGAAACCATTGTTCATCTGCCTTGTGTAATACTAACAAGGTAAAATGAAATTGGTTTTCATGCCTCATTGGGAAGAATACGTAGTCCGCTCCTGCTAAAGCTTCTAACAATGGGTCGTGCAGGAGTAATCTGATATTGTTATCATCACCCTTTTGTAGGAATTCCTAATGGATTGAACAATATGACCAAATTGTTAAACACATTAACAAGAACAATATCATTTAGTTATGCTTTATTTACCTACCATATGATTATAAATTAATACATACACATGTTAATTCCTGGTTATATGATACATTCTAAAAAATGCATAACAAAAAATCATCTACATTATAATCAAAACCATAGTATCAAAACCATAGCATAAAAACAAATTAAAAACATTATAATAAAAACCATAGTACAGAAAACAACATTACCCAACGACCAACAGGTACACTATCCCATCAATTTTTGGACCCTCACATTATTTCTTGTTAATCTGATTTGATAAAATTTAATGAGAGCCAGATGGATGATCATACCCAGCAATGTGTTGTCATCACGAGTGATTTATGTTTCAATGATGCATAATTGATTATCTCAGTTTGCAAGGTTTCCCCGAATGAATCAATGACCTGCAATTGGAAGTATTTATGAACTATAGTTTAAAATTTGGAAATTCAAATTTGACAACATACATTACACGTTATAGCAGCCTTTGTTAGCAAATCCATCAAGTCGTCCTTATAGATAGCCGAGCATGATCCTTGCCAAAGTGGTACCCTAATTTCCAAAATGAAATTACATTACATTACACACATATATGGCATTCAATTATATTATGCATATATTGGGAAAAAAAAAATATATAGTGGACATACTCACCCATAATCAGTGCAAATGAGGAAACGATGAAGTTTGTCTTGATCTTCGTTTGATAGGTAAATCCACACCGACATGCAAGAAGGATCAATAGTTGTACATGTTTGCGGCATCCTTTTTTCTCCGATATGACCACCATATAAAGTACCTTTTGCACAGTTCCTTTCAATTCATCACTACTCCACAACTCTTGTTGTTTCACAACTCCATGTTTTTCTGCTTCTGCCTTTGCCTTTTTAGGCTCCCTTAATGTCTTGATCCCTTCGTACACATATCCTGGCAACCGTTTTGGTCTCTTGTGCTTATGTTTCAGCCTTATTAACCATGATTTTAGCTGAGGGGAGGACTCGTTATTTTGAAACCCTTTCTCTTGTTCAATACGATCCAGAAGCTGTTGTAGGTCGTTTGATAAATCATTACACTGCTTGCGCGCATCTGCCATACCAACTTCAGCATTTACACATAATTCGTTGTACAACACAGCTTGCACCTGTGCTTCCTCAAGTCTCAATTTCAACTTCTTGATTTCTTCCTTCATTAAACTATTTTCTTCACTAACCAAAAACTCTTGCCTTCCTTCTATATTAGGCCCGGATTTTTTGGGGTTATGGGGGACTCTTGATGCCCACATCCAGTGCTATCTCCATATAAAATAATGTCTTGTGTGCTAGTGAGTTGGAACATTTTGGACAGGTCAAACTCCGGGATGGTACTTGAAATAGTAGCACCCGTTTTGCATTCCAAACTAGTGGGCACCTGATGACAACAATCTTCAACAACATCCTACCAGTATATAAATAAAATAAAATAAAATAAAAGGGTAACTAAATAAAAATTTAACTACCTACTAGACGGAAATGGCAAAATGCAGTTGAAGACCACACATGTTAAACCAAAAAACAGCAGGTATATTAAACCAAATAAAAAAATTTGGTATAACTGATCTACAACGAAATGAAATCATGATGGTAATCAGACAAATGTAATAGTTAAAACAGAAACAAGTCCACTGCAAAAACAAAAGAAATTCAGGTACACCAAAACGAAAAACAAAAAAAGGATCACACAAGTACAAAACCTTTTTATCACCAACACCATTGATCACATGTGTCGACCTCAAATTTTTTTTTGAAGCTATGTTGGACTCGTTTCCGACTTGGGGGACACCACTAGGTGATTTGTATGTCAAGCATCCATCTGACGGTTCACCAAACACCTCTTCAACAACCTACGCTCAAAAAACACAATATTAGTCATACAGGTGCAGGTACATCCAAGCCAATAAAAGAAATTTAGGTACATCCAAAAAAATAAAAATAAAAAGATCACTATATATATGTCACAAACCTCTTTAGCATTGATCACATGTGACGACATCAAGCAACCAGTACCCGTTACACCACACACTTCTTCAAGAACCTGCTTTAAACAACATAATCTTATTGACACGAGTGTTTTTAGTAACATGTTTTGTAATCACTACACAATATTAAATTACCTGATCTTTTTTATTTCCAATACTTGCAATTACTGGTGTCATACTAGAAATGTCTATGTTGCACCTTGATGATTGCAGGTCTTGTACGTCCCACTTAACAAATTTGGGAGGTACATCCATTCTGTCTTTCAAGGGCTCAATGAACCCAATTTTCTCGCAAAACCAAAACTAGTTTACATTCAATGAGTAGTGAATTGTTGTCTAATTGAAATAAAAATAAAAATATAATAAAACTATCATAATTAAAAAACATACCGGCAACGCAGCAACACAACCAGAAATGGATGATGGCTTTTCGCAATCTTTCACAAGCTGCCTTTCCAAAAAGTCTGAAGTCGCTTTTGCCCAATTGTATTTTGATATTGTTCTTACATCTTGACAGCACGAAACTATGTTCCAAGAGATTGTATTACCACTGTTACAGAACAACAAAGTAATACAAAAATGCAGACATATAAGGCATACGAAATCTTCATGGTCTTGTTTTGTCTTCCCTGTAACTACTTTAGACATTGCTGACTCAATATTTTGCCTGCTAACCCGTTCAGATACTAGAAGGTTCCTTTTCACAAAATCAACATCATCTTTTGAACTCCGCTTATTAATATTTATCACACAACCAGCATATGGCAATCCAAACAATTCCTCAATATCAAAACCAGTGAACTTTTCACGCCTACCACCAATTGTGAAGTCCCTAGTTTGAGAGTTGAAACACTTTAGTATTCTGATTATATCTATATATGTCTTCTTACACATGTTTTCAGTAACTAGCCCTTCGTCAAAAACTTTGAAAAGACCCCCAAATGGTGTTTTCCTTATAATTTCACGATGTTCGTCCTGAATACTCTTTTTCAAACCATTAAAAACATAAAAAAAGGGCCCAAAACCAGATCTGTATTGCATTTTTCCAAACTCTTTCCTGCTCAATTCCATATCACCTACAAACAGAAAATAGTATAAACACAGGGTCGTCATTAACCTGTTTCACAATGTACTAACTTAATAACCTTTAGGCTGTAGTTACATAACCAGTTTTTACAGAACCAAATATCAACATCAGCCCACTGTGTAGGTAAATTAATATATAAAAATCAACATGAGCCCACCAAAAATCAACATACGTGTAGGTAAACTGGAATATTCCAATCTCAATCAGTGTAGGTAAACTAAAAAGTAGGTACATTATTAGAGATAAGTAGGTACATTATTAGCTTGGGAAGGATAAGTAAACTATCATAAGTAGGTACATTATTAGAGATAAGTAGGTACATTAGGCTGTAGTTACAAAACCAGTTTTTACAGAACCAAATATCAACATCAGCCCACTGTGTAGGTAAATTATAGACAAAATCAACATGAGCCCACCAAAAATCAACATACGTGTAGGTAAACTGGAATATTCCAATTTCAATCAGTGTAGGTAAACTAAAAAATTCCAGTTTCAATCACATGATTCCTACTAACAAACACTATACACAAGTATAAAACTTAAAAATTTATTCTAAAAAGAACTGGATCATGTACAACAGAACTTGTTATCAGGTTATCAAAAGCAATATATATTATATGACCAAACTGTTTTGTTGATCCACACCAAAATTGGAACACAATTTACCTCCAATTAACACACATGGAGTCAACTGTTATCAGTATACAAGATTTTCTCAAAATTATATAGGTTAAAAAAAACCCCATCTATTTGGTGTAGGTAAACTAATACCCAGATACCTTGTTCGTGTAGGTAAACTACGATACTCCAGAATTTTGTGTCGGTACATAACCATCACAATAAGAAAGGAGAAAAATCTACATGATGGGATATAGAATGATAAATCTAAAATTTGAAAGTAATCATACTTGTTACGTAATGCTCATCCTAAACCCTTTTATGAAGGGCCTACTCTACTTGCGTAGATTATGGAGCACCTTTAGAATTAATAACATCTCCAAGTGTAATCAGCTGGCTAACAAGCTAGCTAGGATACCTGTAATAGGTTCTGGTGGGACATTCAGGAAAAGTGTTTTGGCTAATGCCCCTCCCTCCATCAAAGCAACTAGAGTCAGGTTCAGTCTAAGGCTAACATCTCCTACAGCCTAGATTGGACGAATTGATGTACGAGAAAATTCATCAACCTAAGAATCAAACCCCTCTCAAAAGCGTTCAGAACTCTATATTAATTGCCCAGGTTCTTTCTTGTCGTTTTACTATGAAAGCATCCAACAAAGAAAAGGAAAAATAATCAACACCAGAATTTCGTGTAGGTACATATACATAACAATAGTATCTCAAAAAATGATACATAAACAACCATACTGGGACTTTCATCAAACACGTTGTGTGCGCCAAAACCTAGCAAACTAAGAGTGTGATCAATATGTCACAGATCACAAAACAATTTCACAAAAGGAGCAAAACTACATAACCAGATACCCAAATAGGCTGTACGTAATAAACAGGTTTTAAAAAACCAAAAATCAAGACCAGAATTTGGTGTAGGTACATAACCAATCTTCCTCTGGTTTTGCTCTGGTTAGTACTAAGAATTGATGGGGGCTCCATGTACGTGAGAGAAAGAGACTTTTTTTACCTGCTATTTGACGGCAGACCACTCACGCTTGCTAGTCGGTGACGAATGCTCCGGAATCGAATGCTTCGGTCGTTCTCGTATTCTCTTTACGACTGGGCTGATGAAAGGAATGTACCTGCGAACACAGTTTTTGAACGACATTAGAGGGTTTGGGGGAATCTAATGTGGAGAATCTGTGGTTTCAATGGAGGGAACGGATCAAGGCTGAAATGATGGTAAACTGAAAAGTTTTGAAACGGCAGTTCTGAGTTTTTTGTAAACGGTCAGATACTTTAGATGCGTTGTTTACCTACAATGGCAACTAATGTAAATAAATTCAATATTAGGACCTCTTTCATTTTAGGGTGCATTACAATTTGAAATTGGGTTTTCAACATAATTATATAGATAGATGGGTTTATGTCTAAGGGATATCAGTTGTATGGGCTTATATTGGAAGCACTCTAAAAATAATTATACTTAATGTAGCAATTACCCATTCACTCACCCACTGCCAAAACCTAATCAATAGAAATGAGCTTTTTCGTAATTAATGAGATACCTAACTTCATGGTACCGTACTAATATATTAGCACATGCTTACCTAATTGTTCTAGGGTCTTCTTACCAACTTTTTGGTTGAATTTTGATGTTGATGAGGTGGATCTCCATCAAATCTCCTTATTGAGTGGAACTTTTGATTTTGTGGATCTACTATCAATTGGTGTGTTGAGTTTAGGGGTGTTTGGGAGACGTTGTGACCATGTGTCCTGGTGGAAGTTTAGTGGGATTTTCTTTTCCACTTGTAGGTGTTTCCTATCCTCAAGTCCCAAATCGGTAGAAAGTTATCATCACTCATATAGTCTTCTTATAGCACCGGATGCAGTGGCTTTATGGATCCTCTTATGTTTTCAGTTCCCGATGAGTTGGGTTTTCAAGATGTAAAATTGTTTGCTCATTGTCTTGCAATAGTGTGGTTATTATTTGCAAGAGCCTTTTATGGGGTTGTATTTGTATTGCCCGTTTATTAATGAAATTTTTGCGGCTATAAAAAAGAAAAAAATGTTTGACATGTTGGTGATTGATGAGTTACATGTTACGTTATGTGACTTCTTCAATGTGTTTTTATGTCACCAAAATTTTTGATGTCTACATGAAAAAACACTTGTGAAAAAATTCAATTTCATTGGGTTGGTAAAAAAATTGGCTACATTTTCTTTAGTTAGAGATTTAATTGGCAAACCAATGTATAAAAAATAAAATAAAATAAAATATTTTTTTAAAAAAAAAGGAGCAACAAGCATTCTAAATTGACTAGACATACATTATGGTGTATTCATAACTTGATGTAAAAGTTTTACACAACCGACACACATGTTCATATTGGGAAATTATGGTGAGGCAAATATGTTGGGACACATTTTTATTATTGAACCTAAGATTGAAAACATGAAATACATGGCCAAGCCTTAAACTTTTTAATTATTATTTTTAGTTTTAGGCAACAAAGTAAATAATGTTAAATGGACATTTAATGATGTTTGTGCATGGACCCACGTGTAGTGGTCTATGTAGGGTTTGAACATAAGTTCCATTTGTTGTTCAAAAAACACAATTTAGAAAATTATTTTATGCTAGTTTGGGGGCTTCAAAGTTAAACTAGGGGTACAAGATCCAATTTAATCCTCCTAAATTGATTGATCAAATCCAATTCGATCCAATTTTAATCGGTTCCGATGATTTGGCGGATTGGATTCCATAATTTCCAAAATGACATGATTGGATTGGGTGTTGGATTTGCTTGTGAGGATCCAATCCAATCTAGTTAGTTTCATGGGTATTTTGCTCATTAGGTAATTTTCATTAAGAAAGTTATAAACATTTTAAGTAATTTGATGAAGTTATGTTTAATATAATATAAAATCAAAATAATTTTCTCTAACATTTCATTAATATTTTACATTTATGTATATTAAAAGATTTGATTATATTAAACTTGACGATAAATGTTTTATGTTTCATTATTATCTTTTTTCATTATGGAAATCGATCATCGAATCCAATCCAATCCAATATCAATTTGATCAGATCAGATCAAATTTAAACCTCTAATGTGATAACATTCATAGTACTGATAAGAAGAAGAAGAAGAAGAAGAAAGGAAATTTCAAAGAGAATTGTATTTCTTGAATCGTTCTGTTAATCAGTTTTTATAGAGAGATTGCATTATATACTTAGCCTTAGCTTTGCTTAGCTTCTAAACAACACAGTTACAACTTAACTAACAGCATGTAACACCATAACTAATCTAGTGCTGACTCAGCTTAGCTGTTATATAAATGGTTTATACAATTACCCTCCCTCAAGCTCAGCTGAGTTCCTCAATATGAGATTGGTACAATGCTTAAGAAATATGAGGCTGTGTAAACCTTTTGTAAAAACATCTGAAAGTTGTTCTTCTGTTGGCACATACTGAACTTCAAGATCTTTGCATTGAACTCTTTCTCGCACGAAGTGAAAATCAGTATCCATATGTTTGATACGTGAATGAAACACTGGATTGGAGATAAGAGCCAATGCAAATAGATTGTCACAGTACAAGATAAGAGGTGTAGGAAGACACATATGTAAATATGCAAGCATTTGATGAATCAATGCTAAATCTGCCGTAGTATGAGCCAATGCAAAATATTCTGCCTCAGTGGAGTTGCGAGATACAGATCCTTACCTTTTAGACTGCCATGAAATTGGATTTGCACCAAGGAAAACAACACAGCCTGTTGTAGATCTTCTGGTGGAAGGGTCTGCAGCCCAGATAGAATCACTATATGCAGACAAGTGCCAAGGAACAGGACCAAAGTGAATACCATATGTAAGAGTACCCTATATATACCTCAATATCCTTTTAACCATATAAAAATGAACTTCAGTTGGATTGGTCATGTACTGGAAGACTGTGTTTACTGAATACGCTATATCTGGTTTGGTAAAAGTTAAATATTGTAAAGCTCCAACAATGCTTCTATATAGAGTAGGATCCTTCAAAGGTTCACCACCAGTCGACAACACCTGAGTATGTGGCTTACAAGGTGTTGGACAAGTTTTACATGTAGTCATACCAGCCTTGTGCAATAGATCCCCTACGTACTTGGTCTGATTGACAAAGATTGCACCAGGTGTAGGATATGACACTTGCAGACCCAGAAAGTAAGTCAATTTACCCATGTCTTTCACATCAAACACAGATCCAAGATCACTAATAACTACTTGAATGAGTTGCTCATTAGAACCAATAATTATTATATTGTCCACATATAAAAGTAACACAACTAGATCATATTCTGTAGACTTCACGAACAAGCTAGGATCAGAATGAGAGGCCTTGAATCCTAGAGCTGGGAGATACCCTGTAAACTTTGAGTTCCACGCCCTTGGTGCTTGTTTCAAGCCATATAGTGACTTATGCAATTTACACACATAATGAGGAAGTATAGGATCTTCAAATCCTTGTGGCTGCCTCATGTACACTTCCTCTTCCAACTCTCCATGCAAAAATGCATTTTTAACATCTAATTGTCGAAGATCCCAACCTTTCATAGCAGCCACGCTCAAAACAATCCTGACAGTAGTGTGCCTAACTACTGGACTGAATGTTTCAGTATAGTCAAAACCTGCTTCCTGGCTAAACCCATGTGCGGCAAGCCTAGCCTTATACCTTGATACTATGCCATCAGCATTCCCCTTGATCTTATAAATCCATTTACTGCCAACTATGTTGGTGTTAGGAGGTGGAGGAACTAAACACCATGTCCCTTGCATTTGTAAAGCCTTAATTTCTTCAGTCATAACCTTAATCCAATCAGGGCTAGAGGAAGCAACCCTATAACTATTTGGTTCATCTAATGCTGTGTGAAAACACGAACTAAAACATTGATAATCGGAGAAATCCTTTTTCTAAAAAATACCAGACTTTGCTCGAGTTTGCATACTATGTGTATTATGAGGAATAGACACAGTAGTAGAAGAAGGAGATGCAGCTGTAGCTACGAGCTGTGAACCAGTATCAACATCAGAAGATAACCCAAGAGGAAGTGACATCACTTGAAGTTTGGAAGCTAAAGAAGCCCGAAAATGATCAGAAGATTGTAATGCAAAATCTGAAGCGCGTAATTCTGAACTAACATCATCAAGAGGCACATTAGGATGTTGAGAAGGAGAGGAGGAAGAAGATAATGTTGGTTCTACAGTGAAAGGCAAAGGAGATACTAGAATAGGAATAGAACTAGGAGATGTGGATGCTGGAACAGGCTGAGACTGAGGCTTTGCACACTCTGGAAGTTTGAATGGATAAGTATTCTCACCATGAATTACATGACTGGAGATGATACATGTTGAGCCTATCCTTAACAACTAAAATGAGTTATTAAAAGCAGCAACTTTAATTCTCGCAAGTGCACGAACCGTTTATAGTATAGCTTATGTAAATACGAGGTCGATCCCACGGAGAATGGTAACTTGGTTCCAAGTTAAATTACTTAGAATGCTAGAAAAACATAGAACAAAGAAACTGACTAACTAGCTAAAGGCAAGGTCGAATTCAACAATGCCTCTTGCTAATTACTCAAGGTCTAGGACAGAATCCTAGCACCACACACGCACTCGAAATGGGGGGTTTTGTTGTTGAAATGAAAAGAAGAAAGTGAAATGAAAGTGCTTGAAAGTAAACACTGGACAGATTGTGAAACAATAATTGAGAGGTGTTAGAGCCTTGGAATCCACCACTAGTTTTCCTATCCAAGTTATGAATGCATAGAAATTGACTCAAGCTTCATCAACAATAGATTATCGCATACAAACCTATGGTATCTAGGTGCATGATGCATGATTCTCCTAAGGCATGTAATTGTGCATGGTATCTACACAACACATGATCTCTAATATGCAACCTAAGCATGGTATCTACTTAGAATAAAGCATACAAGAGTCATTAAGCTCCATGAGAATATGATAATCACACAAGGCCTAGAACATGGTATCTGTCCTAGTCAACCTATGGTTATTAACCCCTTGAATGATTCTTAGGCCATTCATATGTTGCTTGTGAAAGGAGAGTAGAATTGGTGAATCTAAACCCTTTCCCAACTTGTGCTAGATGCATAAAATCCTAGTTAGCTACTCCAAGAAAACATACATCAAGCACATAATAACCTGGAGGTTAACAACTTGATAATGAAAGCAAGGAAATCAATTAACTATAAAATCATCCATAACATTGAATATTCATGACTAGGGCTTCATCCTAAGCCCTAACTAAATGGATTAGTTAAACATAACTATGAATACAGAAAATAAGAAATACATAGATAGGATAAAGAGAAGAGAAGAACTAGCTGGCAGCAATGTAGTTCCCAGGACAGCTCCAAGCTCTCTTCTCTCTTTGTGGTGAAGCTGAATGTTTGTATGAGAGTAATAGATGAAGTGAAAATGTGTATCTAACTCTCCCTATCTCCTTCTTGAATGAGTGTGCAGCTCTCTATTTATAGAGTGCAATTTCTTCCTCCCCTTTGGCTGGTGAAGCACACCTCACTTAGCTACTCCCAACTGCTCCAGCTGCCCATACATGCCAACTGCTCTAGCTGCCCATACTTGCCAACTGCTCCAGCTGCCAAGTACATGCTTTCATATGGTTTCTTTATGAAAAGCTTGACTTTTGTTCATCCTTCTGAGTTCCTGAGCTGATTTGACTCCCATGTATGGCTGCCCATGTGTAGCACATGGCTCTAGGGATGTAGCCACATTAAATGTGATGGCAGCCAACATGACATTTCTATGAACTTGGTTCAGTCTTTGATATGCTGAGGGCTCCAGATTTATCCAATTGGGCTGAAATTTGGATATGTTATAATAGACACCCATTGAAACAACTTCTATCAAGGATGTCTCCTTATCCGACCTGTGTAAGTTGCTGAAATGAGGCCTGCAAGATGAATTACGAAACTGAACTGACAAGGAGTGTGGCCCAAATTGGGTTTGTCTTTAAGCTCATATTCCTCTTATCCCAATCAGCCCTTAGCAAGCATGGATTGCATCAAATGTGATCTCTTGCTGTCTTAACCTATAAAACAAACAAAAAGAGGTAAGTGACTCAAAATAAAAAGAAACTAAACAAAATTACTAAGCAAAGAAGGCATGCAAATGTGTGAAATTATGACCTTATTGTCAATACACTTGTCTTGCAATTTATCATAACATAAAACCCCCTTATAACCAGCAGCATATCCAACAAAAACACATTGTGTGGTCCTAGGTTGTAGCTTATGACAGTTATAGGGTTTGAGATAAGCAGTACCAAAGACTTTAAGGTGCTTAATATCAGGCACATGATGAAATAACCGATAATAAGGAGATTGATGCTCCAACACCACATTGGGCATACGATTAATCAAGAATGCAGCATGAAACCAAAATTGAGTTGGTAAAGCAACATCATTCATCAAAGTAAGAGAAGTTTCTACCAAATGCCTATGTTTCCACTTAGCAAGTCCATTCTGCTAAGGGGTGTAAGGACAAGACAGCTGATGAACAATCCTTTTAGAAGACAAAAACTTAGTGAATGCTTTGCTAACATACTCATCCCCACCATCACTCTGAAAGAACTTAATGGAAGCAGAAAAATGGTTGGAAAACAAACTTGTCAAAAACCTCAGATTTATTATGTAAGGGATACAACCATACAAAACCAATGCATTCATCTATGAATGACACATAATACCGATAGCCATCCAAGGATTTACATGATGATGTCCCCCAAACATCACTGTGAATTTTATGAAAAGTAACAGTAGACTTGCTATGAAAACGAGAAAATGGTAATTGATGCATCTTCCCACTCAAACAATGAGGACATATGAAAGACTAACTATCATCACAAACTGAAATGTGAGATTTATTTAGCATTTACTTAACTACAATATTAGTAGGATGACCTAACCGAGCATGCCACAACGAAGATTTGACAAGCTGTCCAAGATAAGCTTTTGCCTCTGTGTTTTTATGTTGAAGTGCTAAAGAGCTGGGACAACAATACAGGACTCAATCACTCTTGCTTGTGAGAAGAACTTGCTTGCTGATTCTGTCCTATATTGAGAAACCAAATAGATCAAAAGCAATGAGACAATCATTGTCCTTACACAATTGATACATTGAAAGAAGATTGGCAGTTAGATGAGGAACATGAAAGACAATAGGCAATTTAAGAGCAGTAGTAGCACAGGGAATACTAGTAGTCCCAACATGATCAATTTTCATACCTACACCATTGCCTACAGTAACAAATACAAGGTGCAGTAGTTTCCAGCATATGCATATCAGAAACCATATGATGACTAGCACCACTGTCAACAATCCATACTGTGTCTGGAGAAAACGAGGTCTAAGCTGTCATAGCCGCCAAGGTAGGATGACAGGAACCACCCCGAATTCTTCGAAACTCGGGACGAATCTTGTGGAATTCCCGACATCACACCGATGTCGAGCCCACTCACTAAAACTATAACCTCATTTTCCAAAAAGGAATAAAGACACGAGACTTTCTACCAAAATTTCGCAGAGTCTCCCCTGTAATTTGAACATTTCCCAAAATTTTCAACCTGCATAAAACACATTTGATATCACCAACCGGCAGCATGCACAAGATAATTCCATGCAATTCACATAATCGGCCTCCGGCCTTCAAATAATCCGAACAACCTACCAACAAAACTCTTAAGTCAAAAATAGTACCTTAACCAATGCAAATAACAAGCTCAAACATAATTATTAATGCCAAATGCAATTTTCATCATCTAACTTCCCAAATATCCAACATACTAGGTTCTAACCTCCTAACACGACTACATCTCATTTTCACCCAAATTTTAGGACCAATGACAAGGTCCGAACCAATCTCAATAAAACAACATGAGTAAAGTTTAGCCTGTGGCTGCACCTAGGCACTACCCTAGGCTGCCTATGTACCCTTACTAAGGGATCAAGCCACACATAGTTCTTTCCACAAAAATCCCGATTCTAACCACATACAATCCATTACAGCAATACAAAAAGATAGACTCTAGAATTTATCCCTTTCCCTTTTCTTTAAATCACAACCTACCAAACCTAATCTTTTTCAAACCTCTATCCTTAATTCATCTCCCTATTATTTTATAATTCGTCTCCCTAATAATCACATAATCTCCCCATACGCCGAAAAATCCAACACCGCGTATGGGGTCTGTCTCACACGCATGAAATTCCAACGCCACGTGTGAAACCTAATAATCACATAATCTCCCCATACGCCGGAAAATCCAACACCACGTATGGGGTCTGTTAACATGCCGGAAAATCCAACGCCACATGTGACCTAACCATCACATAATCTCCCCATACACTGGAAAATCCAACGCCACGTGTGAAACCTAATAATCACATAATCTCCTCATACGCAGGAAAATCCAATGCCACGTATGGGGTTTGTCAACACGCTGGAAAATCCAACGCCACGTATGACCTAACCATCACATAATCTCCTCATACGCCGAAAAATCCAATACCACGTATGGGGTCTGTCTCACGCCGGAAAATCCAACGCCACGTGAGACCTAATAAATCACATCCAAGTCCACGACGCCCTTTCACAACTTACCAAATCACTTTACCCATACTCATCTAACCCATCATTTCAATTATTAACCTAATATCCAAGAGCTTTCATACACTAATATAAAACACTCACAATCCCCCAGTTTAAAATAATAAATTAATCCTGTAATCCCACGTAATCAACTTAACTCAAATAACGGTCATTCTAGTACTCCTCGAAGGGTGAAGCTACCTCAGAAGGTTCACGGTCACCCGAGGGTCAAACTACCTAAACTTGGTCAAATGGGCCCACGGGGCCTACAACCTTCGATTTTCGATCCTAAAAATTCCTATGGGTCCCACAAGGTTAAGCATACACGTCCTGCAAGTTTGGTCCCAATCGAACGGTTGGATCACTCGCAATCGCACGATCAGACGGTTATTATAAAACACAAACTTCAAGTTATTAAATCGGAACATCCGAGGCTCCGATCCAAGATCCGTGAATTCCTACACGATCCTAAGAAGGTCTAGATTGACATATATTAAATTTAAGACTATCCAACGGTTCAAACCTATCGAACCCAGATAACGCGCAATAGGCGACATCCGTTCGAGACTCAAACGGTATCCAAATTGAAATCTGAGCACACCTATGCCTTCGTGAGGACTAGGAGATTACGTCGGGACACAATGCCCTTTTTCTACAGTGCCCACGCGCCGGCAGCGCTTAGGTGTCCAAAGCAATAACACATCGCCAGAAAAACTCAAAATCATGGCTTAAGACTCCTACCCAAAGTATAACACCCTAATTGGAACCAGTTTTGTTCTTGGACCTACCCCAAAAACTGACCAGAAGTGGCTGGAATCTCGATCCCAAAATTGGCCGAAATCCAATTCGAAAATCAAGCAACCTATGCTCAAAATTGATGCAATCCTACCCAACCATCAGCGAGATCATGAAAAATAAGTGAGAAAGCATACCTCACTTACCTGAATCAGTGGCCGGATGATGGGGAACGAAGTCAGAGAAATTCGAGTGAAAATTGATCGTTTCTCCTCAATTTTCCGGCGAAATCACGACAACATGCGGCAGGGCTTGGCTGGGGTTGGAAGAGGATGGTGGCCCGGTCATTTTGGTACCAGCCTCGTCAACTTTGGTGGCCAGACGAGAGAACGGCCAGCCAAAACGTGGCCGGCTGTCGCTGCCGTCGCGAGAGACGAGAGAGAGAGAGTGCGCGGGGAGAGAGAGAGAGAGAGAGAGAGAGAGAGAGAGAGAGAGAGAGAGAAATGAGGGTTTTTTCTGATTTTTATCAAACCCTTTTCACAATATTTACGATTGTGCCACTGGTGATGTTTTGCTCGTAACTTCTTCGTCACAGCTCCGATTCAAGCCCACTACGTGTCTACGGACTCATCTCGCCGTGCTCTAGTCGATGGTACAGTCAAAATTCCCAAATTCCTTCCAGGTCAAAAATTCAACTTTAACCCTAATAAAATATTCTAGGGGTAAAATGGTCTTTTATCTGAATAAATTAATATTTACCTGTTTATTTAGGACCAAGTCGTTACATAGGAGGTGGTGCAGAGTCTTGAAACAAATAATTGGAACGTTGATAGTAGTCTAAGGCACTGTGACCCTTCTTGCCACAAATCTAACAAGAGATTACAGTAGTGGAGGAATTTGAAGAAGAATGCCTATAGTAGCAGTTTGGAGTAGTGTGTCCACCCTTACTACAAATTTGACACTCAGGTACCACACCGGGCCTTGGGGTAGAATTAGAAGGAAACCTACCACCTTGAAAACCTCAATTCACGGAGCGCCCTATGGATGCACGACCACGACCAAAAGAAGGTCGAGAACTGTGTTGTGTGCCAAAAAAGGCAAGAGGAGTAGGAAGTAAACCAGCACCCCCAGACAGGGCCGTGTCCTGAGAAACTCCAGGAGTAGAAGTAGTTGAGGTATGACGATGAACCATAGCATGAATTGGGGTTGGAGAAGACACAACACGTTCCTCTACACTTTGCTCAGCAGCAAGTAGTTTACTAGGAAAATCTTTCAATGAAATGGAAGTTTCACGAGCCACAAGCACAGTCTTGATCATATCGTATTCAGCAGGGAATCCATTCAAGGCTGTAATCATGAGATCATCATCAGACACAGAGACTCCAGCAATGGAAAGCTGGTCGAGAATACGTTTAAGCCGAAGCAAAAATTTCTCAATCGTATCAGCACCTTTCTGAGTAGTCTAAATCTCTGTTTTGAGATGATTAAAGCGAGCACAGGAGACGGTGGCATAGCGATCAGTAAGACTCAACCAAGCCTCTCGAGCAGTCTTACTTCCAATAACATACTCAATTGCTTCATCAGACAAGGTCGCAATGAGTAAGCTAACCAACGCCTTATTAGCCCTCGACCATTCACGATACGCAGCTGTAATAGTAGAAGTGACGCGTTCCTCTCCCACAATCGCAAACTTAGGAGGAGCAATTAGCGTTCCATCGAAGTGACCAAACAGGTCATAACCTTCCAGAACGGATTCAATCTGATAACGCCATTTGAGATAGTTTTCATCATTCAACTTGATAGTGAGCATGCCTAGAAGACTTTCAATCTTGAACGGAGAAGAAGTCGCCATGAAAGCTTGAGGTATCGCAGAAGAAAACTGTGCACGAACTAGAAATCGAAGAACAGCACCACGAAGAAAAGTGTAGAAAGAAGGAATTTGTGAAGGAATTTGATACAAAAACTTGGATTGGAAAAATCATAATCCAATCTATATTGGATTGGATGCAGATTGGTTTAGTTTCGAATGTTGTACATCCCTAGTTTAAGCCTTCATGATCATAGTCATTTGTTGATGTTAATTCTATATCGGGAAATTGAGCTTTGCTTGTAATATTTTAAATGATATTGGGCCTCAAATGATTTTGAATTAGATTATCACATTTTAATATGGTATCAAAATTAGATTCGCCCATGTATGAAGCCCAACTGTTTTTGTCCAAGTGCTCCAATAGATGAATTATGAGAAGTTAATTTAACGATACATATCATTTTCAACTGAAAATTTTACTGTCATAGAAATATATATATATATATATTTTTTTTTAATTGTCACAGAAATAATTTTCACTTAGCTTTCTTTCAAAAGGGTTTAGTGTACCTTGAGTATGTGAGTGTTTGATGAAAGGATTACGATGGCTATGAAGTGTGGATAGAGAATAGTTTTAGCTTAATGAGTTATTCTAAAAATAAAAATAACAATTTATGTATAACTTTTACGAAGGTGGAATTGACAAAATGTATCAAGTGTTGGGTGGAAAGAGTCAAACGTTAGAGTAATGCTAGGGCATGTTTGGTATTCAACTTGGATCTAATTTTTTAAACTCAAAAATAGAATTTGAGTCCAAAATAAAGAAAACCTGTTTGGTAGCCCTATTTTTAAAAATTCAAACTCAAGAACAACTAAAAAACATCACAATTATTAAAAATAAAAAATATCTGTTTTTTCAGTTTTTTTCTAACAACCCCACAAGTTCTCAAATTTTTAAGATTTGAAAACAGTTTTCAAGTTGCATACCAAACAAGTTTTTGAATCTTAAAATAGATTTAAGAACTCGTTGTTTTTAAGAAAAATCAAAGTTTTTGAGTTCCCTATTTGAATAGGATATCAAACGGCCCCTAATGTTTTCGACCCCAACATGATGTGGTACTGTTTAATTTGTTAATGTCTAAAGTATTATTGTTGTTTTATTTGCAGAGAAATGTTTTTTGCTGCAGCTGGTAATTGTGAGAAAATGGTATCCAAGGATTCCCCGATGTCCAGTTCAATTTACTTCAAATATTTTTTATTAGTAGACAAGGAAGTGCGGCAACCATTTCTAGGCAAGATCACTTTAATTTCTAAAAAGCGGCTATATTGTTCAAATAATGGTCCATACTGTTTTTTTGACGAAATAAATATTAAATTTGGTTGAAAGTGATCCTTTTTCCTTTGGCCATAGGTTGAAAGTGATCTCAGTTGGTGCAAAAGCTATCCCCCAGTACACAGGCATTAAGTGTGGGGTATTGCATTTCTGTTTTCTTCTTTTAGTACGAAATACACTAAAGACTTGAATGGAGGAGGGTGAGAGTCGAATTCTGATTCTTAAATATAGCTTGAAACTTTTTGATAAAGTGTGTGGTATTGCATATTTCTTCTTTTTTTCCCTTCGTTTTTGCCTCTTGCGTATTAAATTTTCCGTGTTTTTAGTGCAAAAACACTTAAGACTTAAATCGAGGAGGGTGAAAATCGGACTCTTATAATACCAGGATTACGAAGCTCCATAGTAATTCCATTTTACAGAAAAAATAAAATAAAATTGATGAACTTGCTTAACTAGTATCTGGTGATATGATCCATGAAAGAAGAAAATTCCATGTGAGAAGCTCCACCTTCAACCATGGACCGCCGGACGGCAGCACCCAAATCTGCCGCCCTCTTCCTAATCTCATCCCCTTCTTTAGATCCCATAAATTTCTCCACACCATTTTTAACACTCAGTGATGTCAAAATCTCATCCCTGTGGGCCCAATCCCTCAGCACAACACCAACCCTAAGCAGCTTTGTGATCAAAACTGTGTTCCTTGGTTGGTCTGAGTGCATTGGCCAAGCTGCTACGGGCACCCCCATTGTGATGCTCTCAATGCATGAGTTCCAGCCACAGTGGCTCACAAACCCTCCAGTTGATTTGTGGGCCAGGATTTCCAACTGTGGGGCCCAATCCCTCACCACCAAGCCCCTTCCTTTGACTCTCTCTTCATACCCTTGTGGCAGCTCAGCTCTTCTCTCCTCTTCATTGCTGAAAACGTCACCTTTATCTGCATCCCTCAGTACCCAAATGAACTTTTGGTTGCTTTGCTCCAACCCAATTGCCAGCTCTGCAATTTGCTCATCTTTCATGGCTGTGGTTGTTCCAAAAGACACATAGATCACTGAGTTTGGTGCCTGTTTATCCAACCAATCCAAACACATGTGCCTCCTGCCACCATTTGAATTACCAGATTTCAATATTGTACTTGGGTTGAATGGTCCAAGAGCCCAATGCTTCTGGTGATCTCCAATCCTATTCAGAAAATCCATGTAAGGTCCTTCAATAGTCCTACTAGTGTTGTAAATGTTCCCTGCGTTGTTCAGCTTTTGGCACTTATATTGTGCAGCAATGAAATCCAAGAACTCATTGGTGAAGCAGCCTTCAAGAGATGGGGTGTCATCTGGGATCTCAAAGTGTAGCTCCTCGAGCATTTCTGGCCGTCCGATCGCTTCACACAGGTACAAAAATAACGCAAAGGCAGACACAGTGTGGAAAGTGTACGACTCTCCATTTGGTATGGAAGCAACATCTTGGATGACTGAGGCCATCATGGAGTCATGGATGACGATGACTCTTCTTGCTTTGGGTGACAGTTGGCGTAGGAGATCCGCCACAGGCTGGCGGAGATGCGTGGTGGCTTCGAAGGAGGGCTGGAGATGAGAGGGGAACTTGTTTTTTGCATTGGGGTTGGGAGGAGGGGAGGGGAAAGGAGGGATTTGGAAGTCGTGGAATTGGACGTTGTTGGAGACCGAGGCTTGATCCCAACCGTGGACTCGGAGCTTGGCTTGGCGGTTGTGGGTGGGGGAGCCCACAAAGTGGACGGGGATGTCGCGAGCGGAGACGAGGAGGGAGAAGTGGAGGAGTTGGTTGAGGTGGCCTTGTGCTGGCAAGGGCACCATGACCACTACAACTTGGGATTGGTTAAAGCCATTTGGGGTGTTGTTTTGGTTGTTTTGGTGGTGAGCCATCACTGAATTATGAAATATGAGACTTTGAATTGTCAAAAGAGTTGCTATATGCCAATATGATGAGGTTTGATTTGAATTTGTAGGGGGAGTTTGGGGGGTTTATATAAAACAAAATTGTGACTTCTTGTGAAAAAGGTTAAAATAACACGTGTTTTGTAATTATAACCTTAAATAAAAAATAAAATAGATTAGGAACAACAAGCTGCTTGTAACTCAAGTGGTTAAGAGTAGTTCCATTTTTCACTTGAAATTTTGTATTTGAATCATAATCCCCTCAATATCACTGGAATAATACATAAAAAAATATAAAATAAAAACAGAATTAAGAAGTAAACTCTATTTAGAGGAATCGGCCAAATGGGTCATTGCCACTGATGTAAGAATGAGATGGCATGAACATGTTTTCCTCTTTTGGGCGTTTCTCATTTCTTTTGACTTTAAAAAGGTCATTGTTTCTCTTTCTATTAAATACTCAACAACAGTGCCATCAAGAAAGATACGTACATATACCAACCCTTCTTTTGCGATATCCGTTGCCACCTTTGCCACCTCTGGCCTTGTCGTTTTCTTTAGATTTCTGAAATTATGGGGCTTTTGTGGTTTGTTTTTGGTTATTTGAGTGGTTGCATATTGCTAGAGAATGATTTAATGGTGGTCTAGGGAGGTTGTGCATGGCTAATGCAAGTCGAACTCGAGGGACCCCTCGAATTTTCAGTCATTTATGACTCTAAAACTTGACGGGACCGCTGAGTTCATGTCCACCCACTAATTTTTATTTGGACAAAGTAATATTGTAAAAAGCATTGAAGCGGTCAGACACACTTCATTCACCAACTGACTTAACTGACGTTAGCTTGTTCACTCACTATTTAAAATGTAGATAACGTTAACTAGCTAATATATGAGTAACTCTTACATACAACCGGTTGTATAAAATTACGCACTTTTCTAATCATAAAACAGATCACATTATAAAAAAGATGAACATATATGTATGTACACAATTGATTATTTATATGTAAGAAAATTCGACAGGTAGGCCTAGAATAAGGCCGCCGTAAAGCCAAGAGCTCTTGATTCAGTGGCTACCAAGTCAAGTTTTCCGTTCTATCCTGTCGCCAAAAGAATATACAAGGAATTGTAACCAAAACAAGAAAGAAAAAAAGAATTTAGGGAAGCTATATCCTGTCTGTAGAAATGTAAAAAGGCCCAGCTCATCAAGTTAAGGTAATGTTTTATGCTCAGACAAATAATCCACTTTTCAAAGATATATAAAATGGTTTTTTATTTCTTAGACAAACAATCCCTTGATCGATGCATATCCACTTTTATTTTTTATAGTGGTTTTAAGATTTGTCGAATTGGCAACTTGTGCTTTTCTGAATGGCTTGTTTCACTTGATAGAAAATGGTGCTTTTGCATTTTGTTCGACGTTTCTACCACTGTCCCTTTTTATTATGAGATATTTAGTGATATATCCATTCTTAGCACTAATATTATAGATAAACCCTCCATCATTGAATTTCTATAAACAAACTCAAAAAAAACCTCAAAAATGATAGCTGACCTTATTGAATTTAATATTGATTATTAAATTACTTTAATGCTCCTATTGAGTGTTTCGGATATTTTTATGAGATTTTGGGGTTGGGCTTGTTTTAAGAAATTTATGGTAGTTTTGTAATTTATAAGAAGTTAAAGCCTCTTTGTTATGTTGTAAATGAGTTTTGGGTGTGTTTATAAAGTTCATTTCATATGGGGTATTATTATAATTTGGACTCCCATATTGGGTATATTAGTGAATCTCTCTTTTATTAAGGAGTAAGGTATAACTCAAATAATTTATTTGATAGATTTTTTTAGGCCTATTATAAATTTTATTTTAACGATCTGTCTGTTTAATTTTTTAAGGCAATTCAAAGATAATCCTTATAATAAATTAAAAATTATTTAGACATTTAGTTATGACCAATAAATAGACTAACACAATGTTTAAGAAACTATTAAAATAACTATCATTTAATTGATTGGTCAAATATGTATAATTAAATAGAAAAAAAGTGGTTATTATAGCGTAGGGAACCCTAAAAACCCTCCCTCTTTCTCCTTGCCGACAACCAACCCTTCTTAAGCTAGGGGGAGGTGGCCACTGCCCCTCCTCCCTTCTACCCATCTTCTCCATTCCTCTCCTCTTCTCCCATTTTTTTTCCTCCCTCTCTTTCCACTTTCCTGGGGGCTCTTGCTGGCCCCTCTCTTCCCTTCCTCTTCTCCTCCCCATATCTACTTGGATATTGGGTTTTTAGCCTCAGTATGTTCAAATCTAGGTTTGTTCATGTGTTTGTTTTGTTTGGTTGTTTTTGCAGTGTTCTAAGTAGTTGGTGTTGCCTCTCTCTAGGTGGCGGCAACAGTAGTAACGCTGGATTTGGTCTTTCTTTGGGAGACTTGTGATACCTGGTGGTTGATGTTTTGTCTCTACTTCGAAGGTGGCAGCAACGACTGTTTGATCAAAATTCCGCACGGTTAATATTCGCGGGTTGATTCCTCGACCTTCGATCTTCCTTTTTTGTCTTTCTTGGTCTTTGTGAAATAAGTAGGAGTAAATAGACCATACCAGGAGGGTGTTGGCCAAAGGCCCTCCGATGCCTAAGTTAGTTCAATTGGATCTTAACAAAGATACAACAATAGCTAAAATGGATGGATTTTTCTCTCACGAGGACAGCCGGATAGCCTTAGTCGTGTGTGGTGGCGCTTAGCAGTGAGAGAGAGAGAGAGAGAGAGAGAGAGAGAGAGAGAGAGAGAGGATTTTTCTAGGGTTTTGAGTGTGAGTTAGAAAATTAGTTTGACATAAGGAATATTCCTTTCCCACATGTCGTCTTCTCATTGGCCGGCGAAATATATGTTCCCACAATGACGCTGGTGGTAGTTGTTGGGATGTGGTGGTGTGCCTTCTGAGGGGTTTCGTCTTCAGTTTTAGCATTTGTTTTGCTTTCCTTTTCCATTGTTATGTTGCTCCTTTGCAGCTCGTCTTAGGTATGTGTTGCCCGAAGACCAATGTTTGGTCATAGGAGTTTCTTTGTCAGATTCTGAGTTGAGTTAGGGTGTTTTTCAGGGACATAATTGTTTTTGTACTCTCCCTCCGTGTGCTCCTAGGTTTCTGTTCTTGGTGTGTTTTTGCAGTTCATGGGCTGTCAAAAGACTACGAGTTTTTCTCATAGAAGTATTTTTTTTGACAGTTGAAATGCGATGCGATTCTCTTTATGGGTCTACTTCGTTGGTGTTTAGTTGGGTTTTTTCTGTTCTTGCAACGGTCTTTTGTGGTCTAGATCGGACTCTCTTGTTAGTCTTTATCATGTATGGTACTCTTTCATACACTAGGGTTTGTCCCAAGTGGTTTTCCTAGGACGATTTTAATGAGGCTATAGTATTCATGCTAGTCTTTGTATGCCATTTTGGCTTATGAATGAAATCTTCTTCTCATAAAATTGACTAGTCAAATGAATTCGCAATTCAAGTGATTTTTTGTAAAGAAGATCTTTGAAGAAATGCCTAAAAACTAGATGGTTCGAATAAATAAAATACAATGTGGATTGGTCCTATAAGGGCCCCTCAATTGAAGCTCTATGTATATATAAGTTTATTTATCCTGGGGATCATTTCGTACGTCATAGAAAAATTTAGTTGTCTCACTTGAAGGAGAATTGGAAAATCAGATACCAAGGAAGTGTGATGCAAACATATAGTATTTACCAATAGAACCATTAGATAAAATTCATGAACGAGGAAGCAAATTCATTTGGAATAGATTTTTTCGGTTAAGATCTGCTAAGTATTATCTAGGTTCATGATATAATTATTTATAATAAATAGGTTTTCCTTGGTTCAATGCAAGTGTTATCTCCTGCTTGTAGAAGAGCATCAGCAATGGTTGCTTAACAATTCAGTTCAATAGTTCAATTTATTGAACTTTTTTGTAGCTATTGAATTGAAGCACAATTTCATTTGCACTGGGGCAGTTCAATAGCTTATAAATTAAAAACTATATATTTTTTAAATATCTTTTTAAATGATTGACTAAAATAAAATATAAAATAAATTACGATAAGAATTATATAATTAAAATAATTTTAAATAAATCTTTAAAAAGTGACTAATTTTTAATATATATATATATATGTATACATATAATTAATAACAAAATTTTCTTGCGAACCCAAAGATCATCTAAATGTTGGTCTCGGTACATAAAATCGGATCTTGCGAAATTCCAACATAGACTGTGTACAGTAATTTTTCTTGCTCCCTAGTTAAATGAGTTCCCTTTCTTTGGTTGCTCATTTTTTATTGAAAAATAAAATTTCAACACAAACAATTTTTTTGTGGGTGTAGGAAGTTTTGGGAGAGTTGTTTGCTATATATGTATTTATAGGTAAATAATTAGTCGTCCACTTGTGTTTTTCAAAAGTGACATAAATTAGCAATGACTAATGACTAGTATATATAATTAGCTATCCATTTTTCGAAAACTGAAACAAATTAGTAATGGCTAGTATATATGATAACTAGATGTTTGTTTTTTTAAAAGTGAAATAAATTAGAAACAGCTAGTTGCTTTGAAAAAAGAAAAAGTAACGGTTAGTTTACACTAACTAAATGTAATGGAAAAATTAAAAAGTAATGTTGTCCATGTGTCAATAAGAGAGAGGTTGTAGAGTTATTATGATGTGCCAGCTTATTGAAATGAATTTCATTTCAGAGTTCATTTTATTGACCTCTGAAATGAACTATTAATCCATGAAATGAAATATTGATCTCTGAAATGAATTGAACTTTACTACTTCAACTCGAAAGTTCAATTTATTGAAATAACCCTCACCATTACAGATACTCTAACTAAATAGACAATTCTGAATATTGAACAAAATTAATTGACTTTTTTTTTCTTCTACGTGTATTTCTTCTGAAATTAATTGGGTATTCTTAGAATCAACAGCGTGTAATTT